TTTGTCAGCTATCCTCACAGACGATTTCCAGCACTTAAGTCTGTTTATTTAGGTTACTTCAAGTAGAATTTCGGTCTAATTCAATTCAATGAGGCCGACATTCTGCCCCGGCCGCGGGCGCCCAATTTGGGCCCTTTATAAATAAATAATCCTTGGACTTATACTTCCAAAGTAAGCAAAACTTGTATTATGGCCGGACGACACTTACTATTTTTGGAAATAAATATTTATAGAAACGTGTTCAAAACGTCCAGATTAGTAACAAAATAAATGTTCATGTACACAAATGTTTGTATTGTATTTTATATCCTTACGTTGTTTTTGTAGCTTTGTATTAGATGCGGCCTTGATGTCGTTAGACGCATAACATATTATTATCCATTTCTATTCATAAAAGTGTAATGAGAAAAACCAATGTTATCATTCAAATAAAAACTGATAATTTCGTACGCCCTAGCACTTTCTTTATATTGTTCTTGGACATTTAAAGTATTTTATAGCGCCTTTTATATGTAACTAGCGGCCGCCCGTGACTTCGTACGCGTGGATCCCGTTTTACCCCCTTAGGGGTGTAGAGTTTCGTAAAATCCTTTCTTAGCGGATGCCTACGTCATAACATCTACCTGCATGCCAAATTTCAGCCCGATCCGTCCAGTGGTTTGGGCTGTGCGTTGATAGATCACTATGTCAGTCAGTCAGTCAGTCACCTTTCGAGTTTTTGAGTTATAATATACTTATTTAGATTCCGCCTTGATATCGTTAGTAATGCTATCGTTCTCTAAATAACTTATTCGACAGACGTCGTTCTGTCTAACAGTTGGATAGGCGAGAGTCTATCCTTAGTCCTCAGGGAATTTAGCCTAGGCGCAGACCACCGACTTTTAGTTGGCCGATAGTTGGGCATGATTCTATTTTGTATGAAGAATCGGCCGATACCAAATTGGTGTAATCTATCGGCCAACTCAAAATCGATGGTCTGCGCCTAAGCTTAAAGTTTATCCGAGCGATGTTTTCAACATTCTCTACCTTCGTCGGACTTTCGTTCTCAAGTTTTATATACTTACGAGCAAAAATATGGAATCACCCCCTTGTGTTTTGTACCGAGCGAACTTAAGAACTGAATGACTATGTATGTATCTGTGGTATTAATTTAAAGTTTATAATATTACCTTTAAAATGGTGCCATTTTTATTTGCCTTCTATTAGTCATATAGTTTTTGTGATCGCTCGAAACAAATAGGGTGATTCCATATTTTTGCTCGCGAGTGTACTTAGCAACACATAGGTACAGCGATTTATTTTTATTCACATAAAGTATAACGTGTGCGGCGTGCGAATTGCACGATTTGAGGTCTCCTTAATTTCTTGCACGTGTATTATGTTCTAAAATGCTACTTCAGAACGAAGTAATCTTGCACAAAAGTAAAGCGAACCAAACACTTCACACCTATATTGACAGTACGATAAGCTTAACACTGTTGCATCTTATGTGGCTGTAATTAGGAGCTATTTTCCAACAAAAATGTAAAGTCTGATGTGCCGTCGACGGTGCCTCTAACTCGAAAGGTCATTTCGAGTTTATACGCTAATACTTACACCTCTAATGACTTCGCAAATACGCTTCCTACATTGTGTTAGGGCTGTATTCACGTTGAAGTTCTTGAGAGAGATTTCAGAAATAACGCTCGCTCGAAGTTAGGTTTCAAATTCGAGCTAAAACCGGGTTGTTTGATTTTACTTTTCAAACAAAGTTATCTATGAAAGTATTACGTATGGCAAATGACAATATCGCGTATAGAGTTGGTACCGAACTCCTTTACCAAAGGTCACGGGTTCGGTCCTCCGTTGTGCTCCTATAATTACGAACTTGTATAAATCTTTGGGTAAATAAATAAATACTAATATTATAAAGCTGAAGAGTTTGTTTGTTTGTTTACTTGAACGCGCTAATCCCCGGAATTACTGGTCCGATTTGAAAAATTCTTTCAGTGTTAGATAGCCCAGTTATCGAGGAAGGCTATAGGCTATACAACATCACGCTGCAATCAATAGGAGCAGAGCAACAATGAAAAAATTTGGCGAAAACGGGTTTTCATGCGTACGAAGTCGCGGGCACAGCTAATTTATTAATATGTATGAAACTAACTAAGTTAATGTACTTAGTCGATTATCCAAACCGTAAAGATTTCATTTAGACCTATAATGTGAAAAATCAATACACTTTACATCGATTTGAATAAAAAATGCCAACTTGAGTACGCGCATAGCAACCAGTGCGCTGCCGCGCGCACCGCGTGAATAATTTCGCGCCGAGTCAACAAGCACGTCGCTATTTGCTATTAAACGTTTAAAAATGCTGTTAAATCACGAATAATGACAAATATTTAATTACCTTGCAGTTGAGTACAAAAGATATGTATAAGTTCTGATGTATGCTTAAAAAAAGTAGTGACATCAAAATCTGTCCAGTATTTTGTGCAAAGTGATATGACAAATTAACATCCTACATTCTATCCTCACGAATTCTACATACCTACTACTTATTTGTTCTGTGACTACCTATTTTGTCTTTTTAATGAAGTTTGCATGGCATTTGTTGACTCGTGGATAAAATTTTCTCGTGTTGTTACTATGCAATGTTGAGTTTAAATTTGCTAATTTTTAAGTATACTTTGCCATTATCAGATTTAGATACTTGGATAAGTAAATTATCTAAACAGATATGTCGATACCAAGGTAATAAATGATATGAATTAATAAAATCAGCAGGAAATACAAAGAAAGGTCCGAACTCCAAAGTTAAGTAATAACTAACGAGAGAGTTCGATTGTTAAAAAAATAGAGATTTTATATTTATGTTACAAAGTCTCTATTAAAGAAATACTTATGTGGAAAAAATCTAATTCAATAACTAAGGAACGGCATCATACTTAATTTAACATTTTAATCTTATTATGTTGTAGTTACTAGTTGTTCTTTTACTACAAAAATGTTTGTAGTAGTAATTATATCAGAATAACAATTTGATAATAAATGAAGTCTATCAGTGACAGACAGAAATTCAGGCAGGCGAAGCTGCGGGCATAACTAGTTCATGATATTTTATGTAGGTATTTAGTTTTTTTGGTCGAAATAAAAATCCCTTTGAGCCATGCCTTTGAGGGTTTTATGTCTGAACCCTTAGCTTCAAAAGTTTTTTAGGTGTTTGATATTTATTTACAAGGGCGACTGTTTAACTTCAGAGTTCGGCCTAACAAAAGACAGATTAACCTTTTATAAGTCACTTCAAACATTTCTTTCTTTTTGCTATTTCTTTACTTAACAATTTCCTTTATTGTTTTGTGAATAAAAGTTATTAAAGAACAACAAACGGTTATCGAAAATAACGTTACAAAGAATTGTTTTATATGTTTTCTTTAATAAATACCTAATTAATTAACTTTCAGACTTTAATCAGCCTGATTGCCCGCAAAGAAATAATAGGTATTCCGTGCTTCGAAGGACAAGTCGTTTAGGAACAACTACTTTTGTCTGAAACTTCGTCTGAGTAGATCTTGATTAAATTAAGCCTACGTGAGTTTCTGTAAGTGTGTAACTTTTTATTAGTAACACGTTTGTTTTATGTCAAATATTGTTTACGCCATTTACCTAAATGATTTCTAGTCTACGAGTATTACTTATGTTATCAGTAGAGAGAGATATAGCCGCCCACTTATAAACATGCACAAATTATTTCTATCCACAGTTGTTCGTATAATCGCTCAACTGTAATAATAAATAAGCATTATTTTCATAGCTGTCATACTACTAGTATGTTACCCTGTAGGTGCGTAAATACAGTGTGTTAGGTAATGTACAAACGCCCTGGAAGAGACCTAAGTTCTAAATAAATGATTTGATTTAATTTGAATACCTGGGTTAGTTAGTAGTAGCTCAACTAGCTCACCCCCTACATTATTTCTCATAGGGATCTTTAGGCACACATTGGCTAAATCTTGGTTCGACGGTTCGTCAACTGCTTAGTGTAGGTATAGATAGATCTTTTTAGATAAACAACTTGAAAAAATGGAATTGTCTAAGGCGGGAATCGAACCCACGACCTTTCGCTTGCCGGCGACTGCTCTTCCAACTTATAAGGTACAGATCTTAACTCTCTCATATAAGCGAATTGGCTTTTGTTGTATAGTAATTATTTTTTTTATACAAGACAAGGCAAGGCAGGTATTTGACCGCAATCGCACCTGGTGTTAAGTGACATGCTGTCTAGGATGATACATAATATCTGCCCTGTAAGTGCCTATTCACTGTCGTCTTGAAAAGGCTCGGATTATAGTGTTATGGTTATGTTACGGTTAATGTGATAAATTGAAAATTATGAATAATCGCCGGTTATTATGAATAATTACCAACAGTTGAGGTAAAAGTAATAAATTAATTACATTTATCAGTGATTTATTTAACAATGTAACCTTAGTACCATGAAATATCATAAAAGAACAATGGCTCATGTATAATCCTTGTGTAGGTACAGCCACACATTTTGAATGTTTTGATTTCACATATTAATATAATTTGGCATAATGAGTTTCGACTGTTTCTTGCGTAACATTACTTTGCCATAAAGCCCATAACATATTGTTTTGATTTAAAGTGAAAAATAGGATAAGGTGCGGCGGGGCTGGCCCTTGGGCCACCCCTAAGCCGCCTGTTTAGTTTTATACACACATAAATGATCTCATATTAATCACATTTACCAAATCATACGGTAATTATTCATAATAACCGGCGATTATTCATATTTTTCACATTTATCACTTTGACCGTAACAGTTATACATATGCAAAAACAAACGCTCAATCGATCAACATGGAAAGCATTGGGGGATGCCTATGTTCAGCAATGGACGTCCTATGGCTGAAATGATGATGATGAGCTGTTATCAGCTCTCCCTCCACGGGAGATGCACATATTATTTCTCATAACTCTCAGTAACAGCTCACCTGTGAGTGTGCACATGCGCCTGCTGTTGATGTCATGTAGCACCTGCCTCATGAGCCCGCACAGGGCCTTCGCTTCTCCTGAAGTGGACTGCTTGGACAGCCACTCGCTTTCTAACTCCATTGATAACTGGAACAAAGGTTTTTACTTTTTATTCAGGTGAATAAAGCCGTGTGGTGACGACAGAGTAGAATACATTTGTCACCAATCCCTACTCTTCCCGCGGGTGTCGTAAGAGGCGAATTAGTGACTACACATCAAACAGAACGGGCGCTCTCTGAAAAACATCAATCTTTTAAACTGCGATCTCCAACCCGCCTTCGTAGAGGGGGCTCATAGTCCAGCAGTGGACTGTAAAGGGCTGTTGATGATGATTCAGGTGAAAGTTAGGTGAAGCAACGGGAATCTTGGACAATGGATGGACATGGAGGAATTATTGGAAATCGGTTCAAAGGTAAGAAGGACCATAGCGCAGCTGCAGTAGCCGCTTCGAGTGTAATTTTTTTTTTCAGATTTGTGAATCTGGACCCAAAAAAATTGTGTATCTGGACCTTAGTGTGAGTAGTGACCGTATCCTTGCGCTGCTTCTTTTCAGCACTGGCCCATTTATTGTCCCGAAGCAGTGGTAGGGTTAAAACTGGGACGTGTAAAAGTGCTTTTTATAGGCCTACATGCAAAATAAATGAGATTTTTTTTTGCGTTTTTTGTGAGCACTCGATGCAAATTAATTAGTTCTAATTCTACCAAATGGCTTAGCCCTTCACTGGTTTGGTTTTTTGGCGGTCAAGCTGTAGATCCTGGCTACACAGAAGTTGCAGCCGTGGGAACGAGAGGTGGGAATAGTGACGAATGTAAACCTACGAAAAATAAGCTGCCTCCTTTCCCAGCATTTTCTCATAGGTTTAGAAGCCGGTGTTTTGTTATCGCGAAATTATACCATATTGTGCACAAGTATATGCTCAGAATGGTATTGGCTTGGTTTTACTGCCTTGCCTGCGTGAGGCCTCCTTGGAAATGCTATCGTGTGCGGTTCATATCACATATTACAGTCGATTTACGACTCCCTGGGGTTTTCGGGCTAACACATTATTTTTGTTTTATCTATACTTTTATATTGATAATAAAATTGCAAAAAAATATATATTAATTTTGAGTACCAATCCTACTAATATTATAACTGCGAAAGTTTGTGTGGAATGTGGATTTATGTTTATAACTCTTTCACGCAAAAACTACTGAACTGATTATGATTAAGCTTCACAGTATTATAGTTTATACCTACATAAGAAAAACATATAGGCTATAATTTATCATCTGTGACAAGCTAAATTTCACGCGGCGAAGCCGTGGGCAAACGCTAGTTCTAAATCCGGGCCTTCAAATCAATCTAATTGTAAATAATTAAGATAAACGAACTAAAATAGAAACGAACGTTTAACTTTCAATCAACAGCCGTAAATTTTACTCCGGTTTTGGGAATTAATTGAACTAAATTATAAACAAATTATTAGCAAGAAACAACAATTTGATTAATGAAATCGGAGCGTAAACAAGGCCTAAGCAAATTATGGCCTGGCTAGACAAACTAAATAGGCTATTATAAATGATTATTAATTTAATTTGGCAAACGTTTAGCTATAACCATAGACTTTAAAACCGCACCTACCTATTTAAAGTAACTTTATCGCATTCGAAACGATATGAAAATTAAAATCTTAGTTCTTCTTTTGTCTTTTTAATCGACTTCGTAAAAAGAAGGAGGTTGTATTCTTGATGAAGTATCTTCTTTAGTGCATAATTGCAATTCTGTTGCCACAGTATCAAGTGTTTTTATAGGTATTCGGTTCTATTTACTAGAATAAAGAATAGATAAAGTAAAGTAAAAACCTATACTAATCTTGATGCAAGCAAGGTAAATATTTGAAAGTAAGTATTATCAGTATTTTTCATTGGCGTACAAACGTCGTCTTTCACAATTCCCTCAAGGACACGTCTTATCAATATTCAAACTTCGTACAAAACATTATAAAATATTTTTTCTTCATTTTTCATACTATATCTGCGTTTACCGGGTTGAATAGCCTTTTATCAATGAACATTAATCTTATGTAAAATTAAATTAATATTGTTTGTTTCTCGATGTATGGAAATGTAACACCAATTCTGATAATATTGCTAATAAACTTGTTTACGTTGGTTATAATAATATGAGATTTTCTCCTCTAGTAGAATTATATAGGTACCTAACTTTATTTTACATTTAAATACCTACCTGCACTGTTGTTTACTCTTTCTATCTTTCAGTTTCCTGTTATAGTTCACCAACTTTTCGTGGATTTTTCGATAGTTTACGAATCCTATTAAATCGCACCTTACCTAAGTATTTATTTAATTGTTTCAAATAGGTACGTGTTTATGCAAAAGCGGTAGAACGCATTAAGTTGTAAACAACCTAGACTTAACGAGAATAAGGTTTGCAAACTAATTTCCTAATAAATAAAGAAACTAGTTAATGGGACTTTGAGAGTTTCATTATGGTAGTTATAGTTAGCGTCAAATAGTTCGCGACACCCAAAGTAGCCAAAAAGTTCGCAACACGTCTTTGATAGAATTGGAATAGTTTTGTTGTCAATTTTTAGGCCACTTTAGGTATCACGAAATACATATTTGACGCTGACTGGATCCTTGGGATCCGGACCACGAAAATAAAATATTACTGGGTCGCGACATTGCCTTTTTATTTACACTCAATCATACTCGTTCATAATCTAGAGACGTTGCTTTCTGTCACACTAAGGACCATCGTCAAGGGTGTTATTTTTTGCATAACAAACTTGTAATAATGGCCATACGAAGTTTAAATAATAAATAAACTAGCTTTTGCGCGCGGCTTCACCCGCGTGAAATTTAGTTTGTCACAGATCGTCATTAATTATGTTAATCTGGGTTATAAACAATAATACTGTAAAGTTTCATCAAAATCTGTTCAGTAGTTTTTGCGTGAGATAGTAACAGACATCAGTTTGGATGTCTCCAAACTTTCGCATTTATAATATTAGTAGGAAGTAGGATATAAGCTGAGTGAGGGCTTAATAAAGTTTGGGAAACTAGTGTCTAGCTATACAATGTAGGATGGTGACAGATAAGATTAAATTCGCTCGCTACCTCGATATCGTACACAATTAATTTTGTACGATTTCGCGCGCGATTGGTATTCACTCTTGCAGAAATGTGTTCTTATAAGAGAGTTATAAGACTTAACTCTTATCAGATTTTGATTCTTATTGAAATAATACCCCAACAAGAATTCTAATTTGATAATTTCTAATAACAGCAACCAGCAGTGTGCCTATAAGTAATTCTAAGCTACTGGATTATAGACTAAACCTAATCAAAATGTAACTTACATGGAACATAGTCAAGTCCGGGCAACATGGAAAGCATTGGGGGAGGCCTATGATCAGCAGTGGACGTCCTATGGCTAAGATGATGATGATGATGAATGTAACTTACAAGGTATTCAGTGAGTTTCTTGACTAGGGGCTCTAGATGCACGGTGCGGGCCCATGCATCACAGACGAAGCAGAGGTTGAAGTAAAATGCGTTCCTCGCATACTTCTTGTTGTCTATCCGGACCGGGAAGCCCAGGATTTTGGAGCCCAGGAGAGTTCTGGAAGTAAACAAAAAGTTTTTTAGAATTTAAAATTTAAAACTGTGATACTGAGCTAGAAATTAGTTTTTATTTATTAATTAATTAATTTATGATCATACAATAATTAATAATTTAATGTAATCATTGAGTTTTTTTTTTTCTTCAATATTTTATTATTTAATTAAAACAAACGAACTGATTTATGAATAAATATTAATGATGATTAACAAAAGTTAAAAAAATATAAAGGCAGATAAATATCTGCCTTTGTTTTTATACCTGTTAATAAGTATACAATAAAATAAATTGGCTAATAAATATTTTTTTTTATTATTTCCTCTAAATCACTTGTAAAAAATAATTTAATTAACAATTAGAAGAAAAATAATAGTAATGTGGGTAGGTATCACAACGATAACATGGTTACTTACACTGTCAAAGTGCATCTCTGCAGTTGCACCTTCGGAATTATGTAGTGGCTGACCGTATCGAAGATATCTTTCGAAATATAGTTCTCCGGCACTTGGCATGTGATCTTAGGCCCGGCAGTTGGGTGGAATTCACACAGAAATATGCAACGAATGGGCCCTTCCTGCCCGCAGCCCTCGTAGTATTTCGAATTCACATCCATCGTGCGTAAACAAATAGTTTTATACACCAACAAACAACACTTTCACTAACACATATCTATATTTACACTTTAACACATACCTAGCAAACTATTTATAAGTTTCACATGATTATACGAACTGAATAACGTAAACAAAAGCTTCATCAAAACAAATTAGCGCCCTACCCCACGCACATGAAATATTCGACTGATTATTTATTTTTAAATGCTTGTGGAAATGACGTTGATAGTTCTCGTAGGTGTTGCCATTTGACATCCGATTTTTTCCTTTTGTTATGGGTAAAATTCAGAGAGCAGTCTGGGTTTAAGTAATCAAAACGCGCCAAACTCAAAGCGGTGGTTCTTCTGTCTCATAATTATGTGGTTCTTCTGGATTTTAACTTTACACTGAGGATGGTAGAATATTAGACGAATGTTAAAAATCATAATCTCCCCTCCACCTCGAAGACACAATCCTCCAAAAAACAAGACAAACAAAGAAACTTTCTTAGAAACAAGCCCGGCCTATTTGAAGCACTATTTCCTGCATGGGAAAAAAATACTACACGAGTTAGTTTGCGAGCTAGCTCGTGAAATGATATACCATTACAATTAATTTCAGAACGTAATACGTAAATGTCTTCTGTCATCCATCCATATTGTCATTGTCAATCACAGATTAGAGAGTTGTCAACATAGAGAAAAGTAATATAGTTCCAAAATATTGAACTGTCCTATCGATGACAATGACAGCGGGGCGCCACCGTCAATACCGAATCGCTGGTTCCGATTTTTGCCATGTTGGAAACCATAAAGTTGAACGATGGTAGCGCCCCCCTGTCATTGAGTTTGGCGGGACAGTTCAGCGTGGGTCATCTATACATAGGAAAGTTGTCAATGTCATATGACTTGTTTGTTGTTTTTATGCCAATGTTTTTTCTAATTATCTATTGAAAGTGAAAATTTATCATGGAGAAAAAGAAATGCAAACTATTAGTGGCCGCTACTGGAAGCGTCGCAGCATTAAAATTACCATTTCTTGTGAAAGCTGCGCTGGAACAAGTTTCGGATCACTACCCTATGTTTGAGGTTAGTTCAACAATAACATTGCTTCTGTTTATTTTTGCGTTTGTTTATGTAACGTTTACTAATACTATTAACATCTTTCAGGTCCGGGTGATTGTTACAGAACATGCGAAACACTTTTTCGATCCAACTCAAATCCCTTCCAAAGTGTTGATGTACGACGACAAATCGGAATGGGATGCTTGGAGGAATAGAGGAGACCCAGTATTGCACATTGAGCTCGGAAAATGGGCCGATGTCATGGTCATCGCGCCTTTGGATGCCAATACTCTTGCTAAAATGGCACAGGTAAAAATAATAACTATGCCTGATAAACTTTCCTTTACTGAGACTAGTAGGTCAGATTATATTAAAATGTAATGCTTGTTGTCCCATTAAATGTAATTTTGTTGGATTTTTCTTTTTCATCTATGAAACCTTCATCCAACTACATAAGTATTTGTTTGATTTTTACGAATGTAATGTTGTAAAGCAATATGCAACCCTGCCAAGTTGTTGGATACTAAGCAAGATTGATTGATAACATGATACTTTTATTTCAGGGTATCTGTGACAACCTTCTAACTTGTACAACAAGAGCTTGGGATTTGAAAAAGCCTCTATTGTTCTGTCCTGCAATGAACACCAGAATGTGGGAGCACCCTATAACAGCTCAACAGATAGCAGCCTTGAAGAGTTGGGGCCACACTGAAATCCCACCGATCAGCAAAACTCTAATGTGTGGGGACACCGGTGTAGGGGCCATGGCTGAAGTCCCTGCCATTATTGAAGCCATAAAAAACAAAATGGAATTAGATGTCATTGTTTTATAAGTTGATTTGTTTTTAGTACGACTTTGGTTTATACTGTGATAATGTTTTTTCTACAATGTAAATAATATTTAATATATTTTGTTAACCTTTGTGTTATTTTAGTTTTATTATTTCTATTAATTTAAAAAAATATTGACTGAGGTATTGATTGTCTTATAATGTGTGTTTGTGTGCTTGTGATGGATTGTATGACTTTTATATCACTTGTGCCACACTGCAATTCTAAAATATTAAATAACATTGTGTTCAATATCTGACATGTTATGAATAAAACTTGCAGAGTAATATTGTTTAGTTACGTCTTCTGTGTTATGGGCAGTGGAATGTTAGTGTTAGATTCATATTTAATGAAGTTTGTAACATTATGCAATAACTTACAGTGTGGCAATACCATTTTATCAAAAATAAAACCATTTTTGTAGATGTAAATGTATTTTGTTTATTGCATCGCTGAATACTGGTACTAATGCTAGCATACATGCAATAAGAACAAAACTAATTAAAACCATTTAAAACTCTTGTATTGTATAGGTACATTACATACAAATAACTATACAGAAAACATCATAAACTTCTACTAAACTTAAAAACATGACTCCAACTACAGACAGTGAAGACGATTGATATGATAAAAAGAAAAATTCGTAATTAATACAAAATTAAAGGTTCTTCAGTTATGAAGGGAAGTTTGAATAAATAATAAAATAGTTTCATTAAAAAATCTGTAGTCAGATTACAAGAATGACAATAACTTTGTTAACATGTTCACTTCTGTGTGATCAATATTAATATCAAATTATACACAACATATTGAGAAAATTCGACATCCTCATTGTAATAAGTCTTTGTGCATATTCGCTTGATATAAAACCCTGTATTAATAATTTAAACAAACATTACTTTTGTCGAATCCGTCGTGACTTAGCGAAACCATATAAAATATATAAAAAATACACGAGCAAAAGATACGTAGCAATGTGCGTTCAAGCACCCTTATGTTACGGTAGCCCGGGAGGCCGTATGCATGTAATTACATCAACGCGAAATTAACAATTAAAAATTCTTAAAAGCCATCTCACATAATGACTATTGATTTTAAATTTAAAGTAAGTAACAATCAAATATAAGAATTAAGAATAGAATTATAATGACTCAAATTATGATATTAATAATTTATTCCCTTTTTTGCGAAGTGTTAATATTTCGTATATTGATACAATAGTAAACAATTATGCTTTTTTATCACAAAAGGCAGTAAATATGTTTTCAAACATATTACGTTGATGTAATTGCTTACAGACTTTAATAGAAACTAAAGTGCTTAAGCAATGAATATATTAAATTACTTAATCATTAATTATAATAATTACTCAATATAATTAATTTGTAATAGTACCGATTTCAGACGAAATTGTGTAATAATAATAACATTATATTATCAATTATAATATCCTACAAAAGTTTATTGCATGCCTAACTCTCAAGTACCTTGAGTGAATACATATAAAAATACTATATTTACATTCTATGCAATTTCTGAAATTGGAACTTTCACAATAAAGAAAATTAATATTTACAAATTAATAAAAGAATTTATTCGAGTTTCATGTCAGATCGGATTAGTGTTCGTTCGGGAGAAAAATCAAAACAAACTAACTTAAAAAGATTAATACGAAAAATATTATTCTTAACGTATTCGTTTACTGTAGTGGAATTTATTTAAACATACAAAAACTTGTCATGCTCCATACAAATGCTACATACTACAATACTATAACATTGCCAGATTAAAAAATGCAAATATAGAGAGAACAATTTGAACTATCACATTATTGGTACAAAAATGCTGTAAATGCATATACATTTTAATTCTATAAGATTCGTTAGTACGAAATGTCGTTTATTGGTGTATACGAGTATAAATATCTTAAGGACACTGTTACATTATATTAAGCCATATAACTGGGTAATAAATATTTGTAAAAATTGGGTCGGATTTAAAATACGTGGGTATAAAACTGTGCGTATATTAGACAAGGCTATTTATTATCTAGCGGGACTACAAGGCCTGCCGCTTTTAGACTACTTTGTGCTCGCTCCCGTTAAAGCCGCTCCTTTGTCTTATCAGGCGGTCCAATTGCTAGAGAGCGATTTCTTCCAAATAACTCTAGAAGGGGTTTATTAAATTACTCAATATCTTAGGAACGGCGCTAACCGATTGCGGAGCGCCTTACTACGTGTCGCGGCATACAAATAAAACTACCAAAAGCTTAGCTTTCGTCTCACAAATTAGTTAATTGTAAAGTGTTCGTAGCAAAATACTGCGTTCGCTGTCACACGTGGAATGGAATGAAATTGTAGGCGTAACAAATTATTTCTTCTCGTGCATTGCAATAATAATTTTTCACCAATGGCAAGACCAGCTCGATTGATTGTAATGCACGTGAAGTTTATAAATAGGCACATCGTTCAAACGACGGTTTCGTTTTGTTTGTCGAACATAGCTCGCGTGTACTTGGATATGACGTCGTACGTGGACTTGATAAGCTCGCACCGGTCGTCGACCTCGCACTCAGTGGGGGCGACTCTGTAGTTCGACATTTTGGGACGTCGAGTGTTCCCAGGGTGGAAATCTCCCGAGTCCTCCTCAATGTTGTAAATCGAGATAGTGTTTTTCTTGTGCACCATTTCGAGGTCTTTGCGTTTCTTTTCGCGCGCGTTGATCGAGTTGACTGCGAGTTGGACCGGGGTGAGAATTGGGTCGGGCGGCTGCCCGTTTGGCTCGTATCATACGTCCAGGTCGTCTAGCCCTTTAGAGAGGCGGTGCGAGTTGATGCGGCGACGGTGCGAGCGACGTACTGCGTCCGCACGCCGGTAGGGCTCGGACCGAAGCCCGTGGAGTATGTCCTCTAAAGCCCCGTTGTATACTTCGTCCTGGTGAAGCAGTTTCTTTTCGCCGACGGCCTGCGACTTCGTTTTTAACTCGTTGATCACAGCCTCCTGGTGGGTTAAGTTATGTTCTTGTAATTTGTACATTAAATACATTTTATTTAAGGTTCAAAAATCAAAATCATCTAACAGGAGTTACTAGTTTGCTACATAGCTGGGAAGAGATAATTAAAACGAAATAATACAACTTAGGAGTAAATCACATGCAAGCTAATTATATCAGTAGAAATAAATTAGACTTTCATAAAAATACTTAAGGGGGCTAAGCGTAAACAAAAGCCTAATATTTAAGATAAAGGTAAATAAACAAAAACGCATCTTTTGTACATACAAAGCAGAAAAGTATGCAAAAAATTAGAACTCAGCCAAGCGTTTAGTAACAAATAGCACCAAAGTGGTTAAATATTAGTTATATAAAGACATTCCCTGTTATTCCATGCAAGTGCCGCATAGGAGAGAAAATATATTTACATATTATACAGATTTTTATATATTATACACTTGTATAAGTAAAGCGAAACTGAAAAGTAAATCTTATAGGAATATCGAGATAAATTATAGTCCTAACCATCTTATCTTTTTAACTTTCTTATGATTAAGTTCTTATTATTAATTTAAATACATTTTTCACACAATCATCTAAATTAGTGTAATCGGGTAACTACTTGATAAGGGAAAGGGCGTCCAAAAGTCTATAAAACACGAGGGCCTTTACTACACACGCGTATCGTTACTAATGTAAGAACTAAGAAGCGAGTTATCCAGGGATACCACTCACAAAAAGGAAGATTTGATTTTTATTTAAGTTAAAAAGAAAAATCTTCTGAAGCTATTACATTACACACTGAAACGTTCAGAATGAGTAATAGAAGACTTTAAGTTGGACTATAGACTGTGTGGCATATGTACGTATGTGACACGGGTAGCATTAAAATTGCGTTAACTACTTATCCTTTTGATTTTTCACGCTGAAATCTGATCTAGAAACGAAATCAAAATTTATTTACATATTCCACTAAAAGTATGACCGTTGTCACATTTTTTGAGTTGGCAACCCTAGATTCCTCGACGGGTATTCTATTCTGTACCTATTTGGTTGGATTTAGTGGATAGAACGCACCGTGAACATGCTTACAATCCGCGTGATCAGAGATGGAATTGTGTAAAGCAATCGTAATCATTTGACAGTTCATAACGTACGATTATTCTGTCAAACGCTTTGTTTAACTGACTTTATCGCACGTTATGAACTGTCAAATGATTACGATTGCTTTACACAAATCTACCTCAGGGTTATTGTAGCTCCCTAATATACTTATGATACAAAAATTAGGAATCAACTCTAATACTATGAAACTAAAGTTCATCTTGGATTCTTAATCTGGTGTGAGTTACCCCGGGTTTTTAATAGAATAACTGATTGGTTAATGACCAAAAAAGAGTTATTTTTTATTCATAAACTGGGGTTTATAAATGTTGCTCACATAATTGATCGAAGTTCTCTTGTTTATTTTTCAATTATGACTATTATTGAGTCTTAATTATTGTTTTGGATTACCCACAATATCCCACTACGTTTTTTTTCCCACATAACATGCTTCTCTTTAAAATTGTCTATTCCAAGTTAGTCACTTCATTTGATTCAGCCAATTTAATTTTACCAATGTTTGGCCTTCTTTTGCTCAGACCTTTTTTTATTTATAAACGTTATTTAGTGAAACAAAAAAAAACCGTTTATTTATTTTAATAATTACGCTATAAAATCTAATCCATCAAATTCTATTTTCAAACTCTAAGATCATATTACAACACAAGGTTTAAAACTTAATTCAATCCCAGACATAGGTAGTTTGAAATTCAAAAACGAGTGATCCAAGGCAGTCTATTCTACGCATGAGATTGAATCCAGTTTAACATCTTCGTTCCTCTAATACCAGAGTAAATACAAATGAGTAGGTCATCTTCATAGAAACGCACCGAGCGCGGTTTGTATGTGAGTGCGCCAATATACGTATGCGACGCGCACGCACACACTGACAAAATTCGGCGCAACCACGACTGGTTGGCTTGGCTTGGCTTGGTTGGCTCCCCGCTAAATTTTGTCAGAGTGTGCGTGCGCGCCGCATACGTGTTGGCGCGCTCACACAAAAACCGCGCCAGTGCGTTTCTATGAAGATGACCTACTCATTTGTATTTACTCTGCTAATACGGACAGAAATGACGTCTGTCAAATCGATGTTGCCATACTTTAAAACAAAAAAAACCCTAAAATCAATAACTAAACAACGTTTATATTTCACTCCACACGCATCCCATGTTAGTATAGTAAACACACAAGTGAATAGGCCCCGGTCTGTAACGGTCCGACTTACGTCCGGTAAATGCCAGAGACTGGCCTAGGCCCGGCTAAACCGGCTCAATATTGTGCCGCAATTGAGACAACTGTTGCTGCAATAGGCCTGCGCTGACGGCCGCGTAGTTAAACCTCTGTGAGAAATTTTATGGTGTTACCATCACCGCTACAGTACTTATTGCGAGGAATGTGGCAACATTTTCACAAAAAAAATTAGCAGTTTTTTTTTTTTTTTAAATATTAATGTTGCCACAATCGTCACTATAAAAATACCAACACCACGTTACACCAGATTGTCGAGGAATAATGACCATCACCGCTACAGTTAAATGAAAATAAATATCAGATTTCACACAATGCTTAGTAATTCCAAAGACAAAGTGAAATATGAAGTCGAGAAAATCAATTTAAAAAGTAACATTGCCTTGACGTTCTAATGTGACAAAAAAAATTAAGAAAAAAAATAATACATTAATAAGAATTATTAAAAAGCATTAGATTCGTAGAAAGTCAAGGTAGTGTTAATAAATAAATTGAAAACGCATAAAAACAAAACATTAGTAATAAAATTAATTTCAATATTCAAGTCGCGTCACTGGCTAAGATTATGAAATTAAAATAGAAATGCAGCAAAAAACTACGTCTTCATTCACCATCGAAGCGTTATACACAGAGCCAGTCTAAGCAAACTCAAACTTTATACATGGTGTTGTTTCAAATTGTGCTTTATTTTCTCAAGCAAAGAGTTTTTAATTCCTTAGAAAAATAGAAGCGAAATACACATAAATTCCACAGACGCTTGCTTTGTCTAAATGTCTTGGAACTTGCCTCTCAGTATTAGGGCTTTGATTTTACTGAAAATAAATACAAACTCGATAGAAAAGGTTTAAATAAAACACATATTAAAACAATACCTTATTTACACATTCCTATCGTTTAACTGAGACAGTTTTTAGCCGAATATACAGTGGAGGAGGGACCAATCAGAGGTACGTATACCTTTCTCCCTTTGAGGCCCTGCTACCTCAATCAATGCCTCAATCAAACGATAGGAGGAAGGGCATTTCTGTTTAAAGTTTCTACCACCGCAACAATCCTATATTTTGTAATTTTACTAATTTTATGTGGTTAATTATATTTAACCAACAGACATTTTATTGAGCTATATAAGGGCTGATTTTTCAATCAGCCCTAAATGCTGTAATTTAGTACGTCAATTATGTATAGTGACGTCACTTTTCACTGTCACATACCGGATAATAAATACATTTCTTATTTATGTGTGATATTTTAAAAATTAAGAAAACGTAACGGTGGAGAACTTTTGTACTGAGAAACGCCCTAGTGTCATCCCTATTTTACATTGATTTTCATTATTTACACTGTTTTGTTTAGCTTGAATTTTGAAACTTTATAATGGATTTTTGCCAATTAATGTGTAATGATAATGAACAAATAACCAAATCAATGAGTGGAGTTAGAAAGAATGATGTTCCATACAGTTACTTCGTTTCATAAGACACATCAATATTATTGTATGTTATCAGTACAGTCAGCACAAAAATAGAAATACACAAGACATTTTTTTGTTGGCAACTACTGCTAATGTCCCGTGTATATTGTGAATTATACCTCCAAACTTCACATCTCCTTAGAGCTTGTCCAGATGACGCGTTTTTACTCGCGCGTTTCGAATCGCGCGATAGTGAGATACTAAAGAATCTCAATCGTGCGATTCGAAACGCAGGCTTTTACTAATAAAAGTTAACGCGCGTTTGAAGATCCCGTTTTTACACGCGCGTTTTAAATCGCGCGATTGAGATTCTTAGACGAAACGCGCGACTGCATGTGGACCGAATGTACGAACCTCTATAGTCAGGTCCACCGCCCGCAGTGAGTGTGCGAGCGCGACAGCAACATAATTACACGCGAGCGATACGGATGGGCAGCTAGGGGTCATTGGACAAAATCCTACGTGCTCCCGGACCAGACTATAGTACCTCACTATCGCGCTATTCAAAACTCGCGAGTAAAAACGCGTCATCTGGACAGGCTCTAAGTAAACATACTTTTGGTACTGACCGCACATCAACATATCCTCTCAAACTAACTGTAACATTACCCCCAATCATTCTCCCCAACACCGCCCCCCCAACCCTCTTTCCCTTCCCCTCTCACCTGCTGTTTCTTCTGCGCGACCTTGGCCTTGTGCGGGTCGACGGTGTCAGCGTGCGCCGCGGCCTGCTCAAGCCGGCGTCGCTGCTCGTTCTCTGCGTCCGCTTGCTGAAGGAATTTGGATGAAACGATGATATAAATGTGGCAATAACAGGGATGTTATGGATATGAAGTTTCGTTTATGGACACGGTTACGGATATTAGAATTTTAAAAAGGTTTTCAAATAGCAAGATGCTGCACGACCCGCTTTGTCACTTTATGTACTATGATAAATGTAAAATAGGCAGGTATATCAGAATGGTCCCAAGAGATGCCAGACAAGTAACAAATATTAAAAACTAGCTTTCCGCCCGCGGCTTCGCCCGCGTGGTTTGTTATTCCAAGTCTGATTCTTTTTTGTTATACCACGTTTTATAGTGACTGACATTTCATGTCAAGTCACACGGGAATGCTGTCGAACGGGATAAAAAGTATCCTATGTCCTTCTCCTGGCTCTAAACTACCTCCCTGACAATTTTCAGCTAAATCGGTTCAGCCGTTCTTGAGTTATAAGCGAAGTAACTAACACGACTTTCTTTTATATATATAGATATTAAGATTGAAACTCCGCCTTTATCCGAAACTTTTGAATCGGTTTCGGTTACGGTTACGGATATTTTTTTATTTCTTATATCCGATAGTTTCGGTTACAGTTATCCATAACATCCCTGGTCAATAACTTCAGTATTTCAATGTAGGTCTACTAAACCCATTTTGTATTATTACCTAATGGATAAGTTATTATAAGACCTATTATGTGGAATAAATAAAGAGAAAAAGTAAATAGAGATAGATATTGTAATAACCGCGATCCTTCTCTTGGCACAGTAAGGAAGTTTTTTAATTAGCACCATAATCAATTTCAAACGTAAAATAAAATTCAAAAATCGTAAAGAGTAACAGATGGTCTTAATTACTAGGTATTGTATTGATTTCTTCTTAGCTCGGTTATCAGAGTATTTGCCCGGCAAGCAAAAGATCGTGAATTTGGGACAGGTGGCTCAATTAGTGTTTCTTCTTTCATCAAATATAACATGTTTAAAACACGTGTAAGCATGCCTCATTAAATTGTCCTATCATTATCAAATGAACCTATTATAATCAAAATAAGCACAACTTAGTTACCTTAAACGCTCTCGTGAACCGCACGAGCAGCGAGAAGAAAGCGTTCGCGTCGCAACCGCGGGGCGCCTCGCCGAAGTACTCCACGCACATCGCGAATGAGTCCTGCAACACGTCATTATCGTCATTACCATCACATCATCATCAGCAGCAGAATCTAGAAGGCCTTGTAGAACGTACGACATAGTAAGCAAATCTGAGGTAGCTTTAACGAAGTCTGTCAGGTGGCAAGATGAGCATGCTGTTATAAAAATCTAGGGCTAGGATGCGCGCCGTGATATACTTTATCAACGTCGAAATGTATGGGCAAAATCGATAAAATGGCATAATAACCGCGTATCGCGGAGCGATACGCTCGCAGAGCGAGCTCCTGGACTAGAAGGAAGAGGGCAGTCTGATCCAGTTAACAGGGGCAGTTTAGTCCAGGGGGAAAGGAGGCAGTCTGGTGTAAGGGAGGAGGCAGTCTGGCCCAGGGGGATTAGGGCAATCTGGTACGGGGAGAGGGAGCAGTCTAGTCCAGGGGAAAGGGGGCAGTCTGATCCAGGAAGAGGGAGCAGTTTGTTCCAGAGGGAAGAGGGAGTCTGGTACGGGGAGAGGGAGTAGTCTTGTCCGGGGGAATGGGGCAGTCTGCTGATCCAGGGAGAGGGAGCAGTTTGTTCCAGGGAGAAGAGGGAGTCTGGTCCAGAGGTAGGGACAATCTGGTCCAAGGGGAGGGGACAGTCTGGTTCAAGGGGAGGAGAGCAGTCAAGTCCAGAAGAAAGGGGGGGTCTGGTATATGGCGTACCTGTGTTCTATACACTACGAGGGTACAGTAACAATAGTCTTACCTGTGCGTGCTTGCTCTCGGTCCTCAGCCTCCTGAGCTTATCCGCTGCGTTGGCCAGGAAGTCCCTCAGCACATGGTTGTTGGCCGCGCGGTGGGAATCCCGATCCTCTAGCTCCTTTCGCACCGCCTTCATTCCTAGCTCTAGCTCACACCTAACACTCCCTAGCTCTAGCTCTCTTTAGCTCACAGGTTCTCCAGTGACACTACGAGGGTACATTACAATCATAACGGATGTCTTACCTGTGAGTGCTTGCTATGGGTTTGCAGCCTTCTGAGATTATCAGTGGCGTTGGACAGGAAGTCTCTCGCTTCTAAAGCTCGGTCTGTGAGCACGTAGAATTTTGTCCAATGACCCCAAGCTACCCATCCTTATCGCTCGCGCGTAATTATATTGCTGTCGCTGTGCGACGGGCGGCCGCAGTGAGTGAGCTTGGGGTCATTGGACAAAATTCTATGTGCTCACAGACCAGACTATAGCTCCTTTCGCAATGCGTCTGTACCTCGCCCTAGCTTACACATACTACACGATAGCTTACCTGTGCGTGCTTGCTCTCGGTCCTCAGTCTCCTAAGCTTATCCGCTGCGTTGGCCAGGAAGTCTCTGAGCACATGGTTGTTGGCCGCGCGGTGGGAATCCCTCGCTTCTAGCTCTTTTCGTACCGCCTCCATTCCTATCTCTAGCTCAAACCTAACACTCTCTAGCTCGCTCTAGCTCACAGGTTCTCCAGTGACACTAAGAGGGGACAATAACAAAGGATGTCTTACCTGTGAGTGCTTGACCTTGACCTTCATTGGTTGGGTTTTTATAGGGGTCAAGCTGTAGAGCCTGGCTACACAGGAGTTACAGCGGTGGGAACGGGAGGTGGGAATAATCCCGTTACCTGTGAGTGCTTGCTGTTGGTTTACAGCCTTTTGAGATTATCAGCGGTCTTGGCCAGGAAGTCTCTCGCTTCTAACTCATTCCGCAATGCTCTGTACCTTGCCCTAGCTTACATATTAATACACGATGGTACCAGAAGATATCTTACCTGTGCGTGCTTGCTCTCGGTCCTCAGCCTCCTAAGCTTATCCGCTGCGTTGGCCAGGAAGTCCCTCAGCACATGGTTGTTGGCCGCGCGGTGGGAGTCCCTCGCTTCAAGCTCCTTTCGCACCGCCTTCATTCCTAGCTCTAGCTCACACCTAACGCTCCCTAGCTCTAGCTCGCCCTAGCTCACAGGTTCTCTAGTGACACTACGAGGGTACATTACAATGACAAAGGATGTCTTACCTGTGAGCGCTTGCTGTGGGTTTGCAGCCTTTTGAGATTATCAGCGGTCTTGGCCAGGAAGTCTCTCGCTTCTTAAGCTCGGTCTGTGAGCACGTAGAATTTTGTCCAACGACCCCAAGCTACCCATCCTTATCGCTCGCGCGTAATTATATTGCTGTCGCTATTAAGCGACGGGCGGCCGCAGTGAGTGTGCGAGGGTAGCTTGGGGTCATTGGACAAAATTCTATGTGCTCACAGACCAGACTATAGCTCCTTTCGCAATGCGTCTGTACCTTGCCCTAGCTTACACATACTACACGATATCTTACCTGTGCGTGCTTGCTCTCGGTCCTCAGCCTCCTAAGCTTATCCGCTGCGTTGGCCAGGAAGTCCCTCAGTACATGGTTGTTGGCCGCGCGGTGAGAATCCCTCGCTTCGAGCTCCTTTCGCACTGCCTCCATGCCCCGCTCGAGTTCACACACGTCGGATAACACGTTCTCTAGCGACACTACGGGAGAGGGTTCACATCATTCAATAGGGTAAAACCTGGTCCGTGAGCACGTAGAATTTTGTCCAATGACCCCAAGCTACCCATCGGCCATCCTTATCGCTCGCGCGTAATTATATTTCTGTCGCGCTCGCACACTCACTGCGGGCGCCCGTCGCACAGTCGCGACAGCAATATTACGCGCGAGCGATAAGGATGGGTAGCTTGGGGTCATTGGACAAAATTCTACGTGCTCACGGACCAGGCTTTAGTTGACACCACTTGTCGATTGGCATAGTTTTTATGAGCTGATAAAACATTATGTATCGACACTACGGGAGAAGGGTTGTGGTGTAGCGATTTGACACCACTAGTCGATTGGTACAGTTTTTATGAGCTGACAAAACATTATCTAGAGACGCTACGGGACGGAGGGTGTAGCGATTGCATGGGACTTTTATGGAAAACACTATTTGCGCCATATAATCTGACTGTCGTTGTCTGAAGCGTTACGGTTGCTATACAAAATGTAGCAAAAGCGTTTTGACAGATCATAAACGCTTAGTTTTTCTATTAATTTGTTGTGGCAAATATTCAATTACGTTTACGTGGGTGATATTGCGTGATTACGTGTGCATAAGCAAAATGAGAATACTTAAGTTTAACACGAGATATTCAATTAGGCAGTGGAAGTAACATAATAAACACGACATGTACATAAAACACAAGTTTCATTACTCAAATATCAAAAGTACATACCTTGAGCAGCTTTATCAATATACAGCAACTCTGTGTCGAAATTCATCAGCTCAGGGAAGTTTTGTCGTATCGTCGCCACAATATAATGCAGCAAGGATATCCTTTTGTCCGTCGATTTCGTATCCATGAGCGTATCCAACGACTGAAGCTTGAAACCATACGCTGGCCCCCTTTTGCTGCTATTCAAGTAGTTTCCAAAAGCTAGAATGATTTCCAGAACGTTCCGTAACTTCTGTGAAGATTTGACTGAGGAAGATCCGGATATTATGGCGTGGATCTGAGGCGTGATGAGGTGGATGTTATCGAAGAAATTGCCCATGTAACTCATTATAGACAGTTTTGCTGATATCCTCTCGACTTTGGCGAGTTGCATGAGGAATTTGTCTTCTTCCGTGAGTTGGTTGATGTTTTTCTTCTCTGCCAAGTATTCCTTGTAGGCTTTCTGCTCGGCTTCTGTCGGGACCATTCGTTGGAGGATCTCGACGCTTTCTAGAGGCAGCTGTTTGAGGTCTAAATTGTTGACGGCGGCGATCACTTTTTCGACGGGCGTGTCGAGTTTTCTTCGGGATATTGCTGTAACAAATGTTGCTATGAGAAATATATCTTGTGTATTATCTGGTTCACAAGCTTTTCTTGATCTGGGTTTGCTATAATAGGCTAGTTGCCTAAAAAATTTTTTTTAGTCCGTAATGTTTAATATCAAAAAATATTGGACACGTATATTTTTATTTGTCAATCTAACAAATAATTACATAGTTATGGTGCGTTGAAGTTGCGCACGACGTCACAACGTGCGGCATTTTTAAGCAAGCGTTGACGTCACGGGCCTCTTCTTATGAACTTTGGGGCGCTTTATCTCTTTAAATTTTCATTAGTTTGAAAAAGTGAAAAATACGTGTAGAGTATTTTTTGATAAGTTAACTGACGGACTAATTAAAACTCTTGCTTTTTGACCCAGGCAACATCCCCATTGGAAGAATAGGTGATCGAATCAGAAATGAGGAGATCCGCAGGAGAACCAAAAGTGAATTGCTAAAATAAAGTGGCAGTGGGCGGGGCACATAACTCGTAGCGACGATGGCCGTTGGGGCACAAAAGTTATCGAGTGGCGACCACGGGCCGGAAGACGTAACGTGGTTAGGCCTTCCACTAGGTGGACCGACGATCTGGTGAAAGTCGCTGCGGAGCGTCCGCGTCACTCACCGATGTTCCTCAGCCTGGTGTGCTCGAGCAGCGACACGGTGTCGGGCTTGCGGAAGCGCTTGGACGGGAAGGAGGCGAGGTGTACGCTGCGGAGCGTCCGCGTCACTCACCGATGTTCCTCAGCCTGGTGTGCTCGAGCAGCGACACGGTGTCGGGCTTGCGGAAGCGCTTGGACGGGAAGGAAGCGAGCGTGTCGGCGTCGCAGGCGTCGACGGCCGCGGTGACGCCGCCGATGCGGAACTTCTCTTCGAACTCCGCGAAGTTGATCCGCCGCCGCGGACGCTCCTCGTCTAGCTCGTTGAATATTGTGCCGCGGACCTAAAATTGAACAAGTGCATGGTCAGTATGACGAACCTAATAAGTCTCATTGAAATATTTTCGACAGTCTCGATCTAAAGCAGTTTTGTAGATTTCAATTGACTGAATAATGAATAAGAACATACTTAGTGATCACGTCAAAAACATAACCCTTTTATAAACCCGGTTATATTTAAACTTGAATAACGACTGCACACGCACCGGCCGTTGTATCCAAATAATGTTTCAAAATGCGCTGCACCCGTGAGCGTTAACTAGTGCGCGCTAATACAAATCACAAAATAGATTCAAAAGCATTTAAATATCAGAAAATTTATTTAAATGTTTCGAAATAAAGTCTCATTATGTTATTTTTCGGATTAGCAAGCTGAAGTGGCAGTGGGCAGGGCACATAGTACGCAGAACTGACGGCCGATGGGGCAGTAAGGTTTTGGAATGGAGGCCGTGCACAGGAAAACGCAGCGTGAGACGTCCACCCACAAGGTGGACCAACGACCTGATAAAGGTAGCAGGCCGATGTTCAGCAGTGGACGTCCTATGGCTGAAATGATGATGATGATGATGTTATTTTGACCCTAATCCGCTTCCAATAAAGTTATCTTTGTAGTTAGTTAATAAGCCTACCTGATTGGGTTTCAGCGCGATCCAGTTGAGCGTGAGCAGTTTGTACTTCGTGTCGACCTTCCTCTTGATCGTCATCGCATCATGTTGTAACGGCGGGTGCATAAACCGGTTCAGTTTAGAACATAAGGCAGGGTACTCACCTGCCATGTAGCACGCAACGTAGCATGTAACGTGTCCAACCTTCAAGTGAGTACGGCTCGTCCACGGTCATCGCGTATCTAAAGTCTGGTCTGTGAGCACGTAGAATTTTGTCCAATGACCCCAAGCTACCCATCCTTATCGCTCGCGCGTAATTATGTTGCTATCGCGCTCGCACACTCACTGCGGGTGCCAGTCGCACAGTCGCGACAGCAATATAATTACGCGCGAGCGATAAGGATGGGTAGCTAGGGGTCATTGGACAAAATTCTACGTGCTCACAGACCGGGCTTTACACGGCTAGATAAGTACCCTGCTTAATAAACCCACCTGATTGGGTTTCAGCGCGATCCAGTTGAGCGTGGGCAGTTTGTACTTCGTGTCGACCTTCCGCTTGATCGTCATCGCATCATGTTGTAACGGCGGGTGCATTAGACCAGGGGCGGGCGGCGGCGGCGGCGCCACGGGTAAAACCGGCGGCGGCGGCGGCGGCGGCGGGGCGAGAACCGGCGGCGGCGGCGGCGCGGGAGCCGGCGGCGGGACGGCGGGTGTAGGGACGGGTGGCGGTGGTGGCGAGGGCCGGTGGTCGCCGTTCGTGAGCGCGTGACCGTTCGCTGTGCCGTTGCATAGCGCGTGGGACGATATCGCGCCCACTGGAACAATGTTACAACATTATTTGGCGATGACGTTAGACTGTTGTTAAACGATGCTGAAGAGTGTCCCTGAAATGACATCAACAGAATGGATGGCGCTAGGTTAGATTTATTAGTTCAGATTTTTACCACATGAAGTTTCAGAATCGTTATACTGATATTATAGATCCTGCATTTACAAGAAATGGTTATCGAGGAGTCTAGCACAAAATTATATCGTGATTTGTAAGAAACATTGGTCTACTCCATAGAGTTGCCCATATTTAAGAATCTATTCATCTTTTTCACGTGAGGCGAAGAGAGACTGTCATCAAGCGACAGCTACATGTAATTTGGAAAATATTAGTACGCTGCATAATGAATTTGTGGTGGAAATGGAATTGACAGAATTAGAACACAAAGAACAACATTAAATGATGATAACTCACTTGAGGCCCCTCTAGGTAGCGACTTCGTGAGCGACTCCAACTCTTGAACTTTGGACTCGAGCATCGACTGGCGATTTCTCGAGTCCTGCTGCGCTCGCCTTAACGTTGATACCTGTAAAGCACAATTAATTTAAACTTCTGTTCAAATAATCGGTTGTAAAATGTCGTAAATACGCCAAAACACATAAGTGTATAATCCATACAAACTCTATGCCAAGAGATTCTTTAGAAGTAACATATAAAATAGTTCAGATCTGATTTGATACGTTTTTCTCTCTATTCCAAAGTGGATTGAGTTCAAAATGAGTCCTGCTCTGATCTCATTGCTCGTACTAGCGCCAGCTCACTCGCTTCCCGCGGGACAGAGAGAGATAGCCTACCGCCTTTCACTGCTAGCGCTATCGCTGTTCGCTCTCTACGGGACAGAGAGAGACAGCTTACCTCCTCGACGATCTGCCGACGCACGTCAATCAGCTTGTCCCTCTGAAGTAGCATTCTATCGCTCGTTGGCCTGCTGTCAGAGAGAGACAGCCTAATGCCCAATTCTGCTATCACTGCTAGCGCTATCGCTAGCTCGCTCGCTCCCCGCGGGCCAGAGAGAGACAGCTTACCTCCTCGACGACCTGCCGCCGCGCCTCGGCCAGCTGGTCCCTCTCCTGCCGGACTTGAGCCAGCTCCGCCTCCAACGTTCCTAGCTTCGCTATCGCTAGCTCGCTCGCTCCCCGCGGGCCAGAGAGAGACAGCCTACCTCCTCGACGACCTGCCGCCGCGCCTCGGCCAGCTGGTCCCTCTCCTGCCGGACTTGAGCCAGCTCCGCCTCCAACGTTCCTAGCTTCGCTATTGCTTCTCGCTCTAACGCCGCTAGCCTTTCGTGAGCCTGTAGACAAAACGTTTTGTTGAAAAATTGCTTCTATTATAACTACATAAGATACAAGTGTTTACTTATATGCCGTCGTCTGCACTTGGATATTTTACACAGCGCCATCTAGTGTCAAATTAAGCAGCTTGTTTTTTGAGCACCAGAGAACGGACACATATTTAAATAGGTACTATTCTTTGTGATTACATACAACATACGCGAAACACCAGACTAGACGACCGCTATGTATCAAGTAAGTACGAAAAATAACATTTGTGTGTGATATATGACAAAGCTAAACTAATTTGATTTGCAAATGGCTTCAACAGTCTTGATTCGGACTTTTACACATTCCAACAATATTTTATTTATATTCAAAACCAGTATTTCAAAATGAAAAAGTATTCCAAATAAAAACATTAAAAACGCAAACATTCCAATAAGCGTTCAAAAACGTTTGATGCTATTTAATTGTTAACCAATACGCGCTTCATTGGCGACGCGTTACATCAACAAAAACAATTTTATACCTACGTAACATTATTATATTGTTCAAAAAGCAATTATTTCATGTACTCACATGTCCCAACTCATCCTCGAGTTCGTTGACCTTCTCCAGGGCGGCTGTCTTCGTCTCACTATCCTCCATAAGGGCGGCCACATCGAAAACATTGTCCAAATACGCCGATATTTGCACCTGTATTAAAAAGGTTACAATAAAAAGGTTAAAATTATGTTAGAAATCTACAATGCAATAGTTCACAACGTTTCCACAAATCACGCAATTCTTAAACGCCAAAGGAATTTCGACTTTAATGATAGTGAGCGCGCACGTGTTACGAATACCTGTTTGGTTAATTATATTTAATAAGTTAGTACTAAACTAAATGTATGAATATGAACTTGTTGCTGGCGATACTTCATTGTAAGGAAAATAGATATTTGTTTAATACTATGTAAAATATAGCTTAAATTTTTTTTCCTGTAAAATGAGTCTACAGTTCATTAATTATCCCATGTTACGTCCCAATTTGATGAACTTACAATTTTAAATATAAATAGTGACCGAATAATTTCAAACAAAGTTTTTGGCATTTCAAGTTTGAACGTTTAAAAAAGTTAAGTACGTAACGACCGAACGGAAGGTTAATTTAAAGAAAGTATTAGGTGCAGTATTGTAAATAAATAGTGTACCTATCCCTTCTTCAGCAAGAGGGCTACGGTATAGGCGCTCGCCAGTTAGCGCTATTGGCGATGGCGATTCAAGTCGTGTTACTCGCTAGTAGGACAGTGGTGCCATTTAGTGAACGCGATAAGTGGGATATCGTAATTCAAGTGTAAATAGGTAGCTCTGATTCAAGACATTGATGCTACTGACAATAAATAAGGGTACTTCTACTGACATAATCATTACCAATAATAATATGAATTGCTTTCCTTCCGTCTGCTGTGTACTTTGAAAGTCATAATAGAAGTAGTAATTTATTATGTTATCATCATCATAATAGATACACATCCTGAAGCTTGAGAAACGGCGATAAAGTTATTGGTGGTGATTTAATAAAAAAATGTGATAAGTTAGAAAGATAATCCCAGTTCAACATCAAATTTTGCATAATAATTCCTTAGCTATTCTCTTCTGCACTGCTATTATTTCTTTGCTATTCTGTTCTATAATGTTTTACCTGTAGATCCTCGCTCTCGCAGTGCCTCAGCCTCTCCAGATAGTCGTCGAGTTTGAGCGCCGTGAATTCGTATTGCAGGTGCACCCTAAAGTTCATATCCTCGACCGAATGCACGATGATATTCACGAACTGCATGCACGCCACCTGTCGGCAGGAATAGTAAACGTATGTATAAACTGTCTTTCTTTCTAACGTCATCAGCATTAGGTTATTTGGTTTCCATTGCAGAAGCATGACAATTTGAAGCCAGAAGCTTACACTCCCCCACGCTGACTAAATGGGAGGGGTTAAGAAAGAAAGACAGAAAGAATAATTTATTCAGAAAGGGAAGTCTGATAATGACATATTTTAACAACTTTTTTTTAAAATTCTAGACAATGCAGGTATTTGACCGCAATCGCACCTGGTGTTAAGTGAGATGCAGTCTTGGATGGTACATATCTGCCCTGTAAGTGCCTATTCACTCTCGCCTTGAAGACGCTTTGGATTCAACAACATCCACGGTAAAAACAAATGTTGACAGCATTGTTGTGTTTCGGTAGTAGGAGATAAGATAGCCAGTTCCTCTGTGGTTGATGATTCCGTGTGAAGCTCGCTTCCAACTTCGGCACTTTCCATCAGGTGAAATGCAGGCCAAGAGCTTCTCCGTTGTGAATTAGAAAAATACCGTTTTTAAGAATTGACTGGCTTTGCTGTGACCACGGTTTTAGCAACACAGCCGTAAAATCAAACTGTAAGTTGTCATCATGTATGTTTCTATAATGAAAATCCCGTTGCTCTCAGTTTCAAATACACATGTACGGTCGACAGTACATCGGGCTCTACATCATTGCAAAATTGTCCCTATTACAAGTACATAAGATTCTAGTTTTTAGCTTGATATGCGTACACGTTAGTGTGTAAAACTCACCATAAACTCGATATGGAACGTGTCATAATTCATGAAGTACTCCATGAGCGTGTGAAACCGCCTCGGTTCTCCGACCACTTCTTTAAAGTTGTCGAACGCCGACAGAATGATCTGGTGACCACCCTTCACTAGACAGATGGCAGCCAAGAGTTCTAGCACCAGCGCACAGTGGTCTGAAAATGAAGCCCCCATACCATAGAAACTTAATGTCAGAAATTAATAAATAAAAATATGTATTGTGTTTAGTACACCTCCCTTTGTTTTACTAATATAGTATGAAGAGTATGAGTAGCTCCATGTGTGAGAAAAAAAATATTGTTATTTTTTTTTGTATGGAAAAAAACACTTAAAGTGGATTTTTTTTAAACTGAATAGAACTGAAGGGCTGGTACTCACATGAGCTATTGCACCATACACGGCGATCAAGATGACACACAATTCTTGTGCCGTTGGTTGCCGCTTTGCATGTAGCAAGCTTTGGAAATTTTGAATTTTCGGTAGGTGATCTTTCAAGTCTTTGATGTTATTTTATGAAGTTATTCACCGCTTTCAATACGTAAATAGTATGTAAATTAATACTCATATAACTAGGAATGTACTAGGGGTATTTTTAAATAATTTTTATTTTGAAAATATAAAAAAAAAAGTTTAATCATTGAATGAAGTAACCAACCAGTTGGTAACTGACATTGTTATTAGTTACTAACCTGCTAATGAAGTTTTAATGAAAATAATAGAAATCAATACTGATTAAATAAACAACTTAAAAAATCGAACTGCCTAATAGGCCAATAGAATTACATTTGAAATCGGAAATAATTCCTACAAAAGATTTTATTGTTTTAATGGCTTCATTTGTTACCCATTAAGACTTTCCTAAGTTTTCGACTTCGACGGAGTTGTGCTTATGTGGTGGGGGCCCCCGAAAGGGGCGTTTTTTCGGTTTTACGGTTATATCGCGTAAAGGATGTTATTAAAAGTATTAAAATCGCGTGCGAATCGACTCTTTTTTGAACTATTAGTATGCGATTACTAGTTCTCAAAGGGGTCGATTCGCCCGTATTTATCAAAAGTAGTGTCCGACCGAAACTAGTTTTACGACCGAAACCGAAACCGAAAACGAATTTCGGCAACGGTGTCTGTTTCGGCCGAAACCGAAACCGAAACCGAAACTTCCTTACAAGGCTCATATTTTGAGGGAAAAATAAAGAAAACGTTATTATAATCAGTCAGTCTTTATTGTTTTCTCTTTCAATTGCATTAAAATTGAACTTATAAAGCGCCTTTTCGAATCGCTAAAATAAAGTGACAGTGGGCGGGGCACATAGCTCGTAGAGCTGATGGCCGCTGGGGCAGGAAAGTTCTTCCACTAGGTGGACCGACGATCTGGTGAAGGTCACGGGAGGTGCCTGGATGCGAGCGGCGCAGGATCGGTCTTCGTGGAAATCCTTGGGAGAGGTCTTTGTCCAACAGTGGACGTCTTTCGGCTGAAACGAACGAAAGCGCCTTTTTACTCTAAAAGGTATCAAATTATGTACCTATTAAAAAAGAAAAGTCTAGATTTTTTTTAATTACTCGCAACATTCAGGACATCTACATAACCCGTCCCATGGTTGGGTCTTTTACTTTAATAATTTCTCAATACAAAATTGGTAGTACGTAATTTAGTATCTGTACTTGCCAATTGGATACCTTGGTGATAAATACTAAAAAGAACTTTGAAACTCTGAATCCATAATATTATCACCATGAAATGCACTATAGTCATAACTAACCAAGTACCTAACTAATGTTTGTTTACGTATAGCATTTGCGAACCAAAAATAATGTATAGGTTATATTAAACTTGATTATACTTTTATCAGTCATATTGAATATTTTTTTTATGTTTACTACCCGCTCTTGTTGTACTCGTAACGACATAAAACGAGATAAAACTTACGAAATTCAAAATAAATCACTCGAAAATTCGCCACCACAACAAAACAAAACTAACAGCAAACAAACAAGCGAGTGAATCACGACATTGGCTCTGATCGGGATCGGATTCATTCCTCATTCAACGCGCCGAACATGACCGATAACAGCGCGGAAACTCCCGAATGCACATTCGGTTTCGGTCGTAGTTTCGGCAAGTTTGCCACCGAAAACGAAACTAAACCGAAACTCGTGTTTTTACCGAAACTCAACCGAAAACGAAACCGAAACCGAACATTCGGTCGGACACTAATCAAAAGTATTAAACTTTTGATAAATACGGGCGAAACGCCTTCTAAAAAAATATTTTTTTTTAAAGTGGACGTTTCGCACATTCGTGTGAAGGAAAATCGTGCGAAACTACTACTAACCCATAATCAGACAGTCTTTATTGTTTTCTCTTTAAAATGCATTAAAATTGAACTTATAAAGCGCCATTTTACTCTAAAAGGTATCAAATTATGTTTAAAAAAAGAAAAAGAAGGATTTATAGTGTAGATTTTTTTAAATTACTCGCAATATTCAGGACATCTACATAACCCGTCCCATGGTCGGGTCTTTTACCTTAATAATTTCTCAAAACAAAATTGTTAGTACGTAAGTTAGTATCTACTGTACTTGGCACTTGGATACCTTGGTGATAAATACTAAAATGAACTTTGAAACTCTGAATCCATAATATTATCACCATGAAATGCACTATAGTCATTACTAACTACCTAACTAATGTTTGTTTACGTATAGCATTTGCGAACCAAAAAAAATTTTAAAGGTTAGATTAAACTTGATTAAACTTTTATCAGTCATATTGAATATTTTTTTTTATGTTTACTACCCGCTCTTATGTTATAACGACATAAAACGAGATAAAACTTACCAAATTCAAAATAAATCACTCGAAAACTCGCCACCACAACAAAACTAACAGCAAACAAACAAGCGAGCGAATCACGACATTGGCTCTGATCGGATTCATTCACTCATTCAACGCGCCGAACATGACCGATAACAGCGCGGAAACTCCCGAATGCACATTCGGTTTCGGTCGTAGTTTCGGCAAGTTTGCCGCCGAAAACGAAACTAAACCGAAACTCGTGTTTTTACCGAAACTCAACCGAAAACGAAACCGAAACCGAACATTCGATCGGACACTATATATTAGTAAAAGAAAGGGAGGTATACTAAACACAATACATATTTTTATTTATTAATTTCTGACATTAAGTTTCTATGGTATGGGAGCTTCATTTTCAGACCACTGTGCAGCGCCTTGGCTCTTAGTTTCAAATAATTTATCAACTAAGGTGTAAAACTCACCATAAACTCGATATGGAACGTGTCATAATTCATGAAGTACTCCATGAGCGTGTGAAACCGCCTCGGTTCTCCCACCACCTCCTTGAAGTTGTCGAACGCCGACAGAATGATTTGGTGACCGCCCTTCACTAGGCAGATGGCAGCCAAGAGTTCTAGCACCAGCGCTTTGGCTCTTAGTTTTAAATAATGTATCAACCAAAGTGTAAAACTCACCATAAACTCGATATGAAACGTGTCATAATTCATGAAGTACTCCATAAGCGTGTGAAACCTCCTCGGTTCTCCGACCACCTCCTTGAAGTTGTCGAACGCCGACAGAATGATCTGGTGACCACCCTTCACTAAACAGATGGCGGCCAAGAGTTCTAGCACCAGCGCCTTGGCTCTTAGTTTCAAATAATGTATCAACCAAAGTGTAAAACTCACCATAAACTCAATATGAAACGTGTCATAATTCATGAAGTACTCCATGAGCGTGTGAAACCGCCTCGGTTCTCCGACCACCTCCTTGAAGTTGTCGAACGCCGACAGAATGATCTGGTGACCACCCTTCACTAGACAGATGGCAGCCAAGAGTTCTAGTACCAGTGCCTTGGTACGGAGCGAGTGGTGGACTAGGGATAACGCGATGCTGTTGATGGCTTCCCGATGCTGGATCACCATGTTGAAACCATACTGTAAGAAGAAGAATAGAGAATTTGAAATGAAGTGATTTGTCTTATCGTATGTAAGTGTAGTGTTAATTGTGCAAGATCTAAAACGTTAAAATAACGGTATCATAATGAGCTGCTGTCATAGACATTGAAGTAATGCCAATGTAAAAGTAGTGACAACAATGAGTTATTTTCAAATGCGGCGGTATTATACGTTGACGATCAAATTTTACAGTAGGTAAATGGAGTAGTTCAGAGGGCTTAGTGTGAGTTATTATATCAAACGCGCTCACTAGTGAGCGCGTCAAAAAATGACATTAAATGTATGACGGATTGTACAGCGCCCCTAGCGGGAAACATTCAAAAACTAAAATGTTCATACATTTTTCAAACGCGCTCACTAGATTCACACTCAGCCCACAGTTGAAATTCTTTCTCGTTTGCCGTTTCCACCTTTCGCTCTTTGTGATACTTTAGTGGCAGAATGCAGGCACAGCCAGGTTCCCTGGGGCATCCAGCTTCCGCTCTTTATGACACTTTAGTGGCAGATCTTGCTGGTTAACTTGATGCAGTATCAATGCGAACCTTATCGTCTAGTTACTCGCGATTTCCAGTTACGGGACTATTCCCACCTCTCGTTTACACCGCTGCAACTCCTGTGTAGCCAGGAACTACAGCTTGACCGCCAATAAAACAGTGAAGGTCAAGTTTTTCCCGGGGGAAAGTTAAACTGTCATTGGACCCGCAACGAAATTAATAAGAAGAATATAGGAGGAGTTCGGAGATCTTTAGAAGAATAGCGGTAGATGCTTCTAGGTTACAATTCTTTAGTATCTCTTCTCCACGTACCTTATTGTTCATGATAGCCCGCATGCACATGATGCACACGTGTATGTCGTCAGTCGAGGCGCCCATGTTAAGTCGCGCCGCGTGTCTCGTCCGCCGTCGAGCCACGGCCGGGCTGCCCGCGGCTTCTAACTCCGCGTCGGTGCTTCGAGCCCTCCTCCTCCAAGAGGCGTTTAGTGTGGAGCTGGCGTCCGCCGGCGTCGTACAGTCTGATGAGGTTGTGTTTGCTCCTGGAATGATGAAAGGGAAATATCAATATATGGGGTTTTCAGATAGACAAGAAAACTTGACAGTCTTTGCAGATACTTTATACTGACGTCCAATCGAATGATTTCAATGCATTTATGTAACAGCTTCTTGACGAGTTGACATAACTCATTTTACAGACAGACGAATTAAGAATACCTACAAGGGCTTTAAAAACTCACACTTGTGTAGGGAAACCTTAGACTAGGTGCAGACCACTGATTTAGTTGACCGATAGTTGTGTCCGATTTTAAATTGTATGAAGAATCGGCCAGATCAAATCGGTGTAATGTGCGCACTTCCATACATGCCCATACTGATCAACTGCCCGACTAAACTATTGGCCGACGAAAAATCGATGGTCTGCGCCTAGGCTTACTCTGAGTTCACGTGTCATCGCACTCGCGTAAGTAGTGCGGTAGTGGGTTAAGATGCGCGCTACGGTAAAATTTTATCGTAGTACATATTATATCGATATCGACAGGTTTGCCAGTGGCTATTGACACGTACCCTGGTTGATCCCGTCGCTGGACTGGCTCCTGGCCAGCGCTATCCGCTGCTCGTGCCGCATCATGCTCAGTCTGAAGCTCAGGAGTCAGGACAACGACCATACTGCGCTCACATGACACCACACTTATGCCAGCTGTGTGCGAGGCTTGGACACGTACCCTGGTTGATCCCGTCGCTGGACTGGCTCCTGGCCAGCGCTATCCGCTGCTCGTGCCGCATCATGCTCAGTCTGAAGCTCAGGTAGTCGATCAGCACGTCCAGCCCCTGGTTCTGTTCGTTGAGGAACTCGCGAACCCATCTGATGTGAACAAAATAGTTTTATTTTAATCTTCTATTTAATTACTACATGTTTAAATGGTATCCTCTATCGATATAAAAGAAAAAGCATGCCTCGGTCTAGGTCTAGGACAGATTGCCCTGTATTCTGCGCCTCAGAACAAGGAGTGCCGACCCCAAATAATAGGATAAAGGGCTAGGAAACAAAAGAACGCTACATCATCATCAGCCTAACAGTTTATTGCTGGAGTTTAAGTCATTGTCGTGTCTAGCAGTCTAGCTTCAGTCAGAGAAATGGTAAATCGTCGTATACCCCGCTTGTCTGAGAAAAATGCACAGACCACCATCATTGATTGTAAGAAAAGTGCAGCTTTTACTATGGGCGGACAGCGGACACCCAAAACTTTTGAATTTTTTATATTACTTACTCTATGTGATTAGTTCGAAGTGATATCTCCAGATCTCTGAGAACTTGTGTGGATGTTGAATCACCAACCATTTTTCTTTTCTGCAAATAAAAAAAATCACATTAATCCAACAGTATAAATTAATGATTAACGCATATATCACGCCAAAATAACCTCTTGGCATGCAAATGCATTAACAAAGTTCAAGCTAGCTTCACAAGATGCTATATAGGAACGATATTGTGCATTTTCAATCTAGAAAGTCTAATAATCCTTGCAAATCTGCATCGGCATCGCAACAATTACTATGCAGTTTTCATGTATGTAGGCTGTAGCTGTACAAAGGTGATCACGAACGGCGATATATCCCGAGATAATGAGCCCATGCTCATATCTGATTAGCTTTAGCCGGTGTCCTTATTTGTGGTAAGCGAGCAAACATTCTTGTTGCGTCTGGACGCCCACCTAGAGACTGCGGGCCAAGTGACGGAAAAACAATTGTTTTGAAAAAGCAAAGGCCCAAGGATGGACCCCTGAGGTACTCCAAAGGTTTTTGTTCTGGAGAACTTTTGAGTCACCAATTTTGATACGAGTTATGAATTCTCAGTTATTCATTTTGTCTTGTATTGTCCGTGAAATCTCAATTTTAATCTGTTTGGGTTATTGAATAAACAAACAATAATTGTAACTTTGCAAGTTTTATGAAAAACCAGAGATGGAGAGTTTAATATCTGTTAAGATTCAATAAATTTACGTCTTTAGCGGGACCTGGGGGAACATTAGTTCTCATTTACATATGTTTTCGATTTTCTGAAATCACTCCATAAACCAGTCAAGCAGAAGGAAAAAGGTAATTGATATTTAGAATTCTGGAATTGTACTGACGCACGTAACCTATTCATTACCATGAAAGTACTGAGAACGCGACAGCACATCAAGTTGCCACAAAACGAAAAATTTCCTTGAACCTTATCCCAAGGACATAGAATTCCAAATACCTTGCAGAATTCGTTTTCCATGCGTCAGTCTCCTATGATTTGGGCCGAGGGCTCCCCGAGACACGACATCTCATGAGTCAGGCTGTCCTGTGTGACCTAACCTCTCCGACCCACGAGCTGTATGGCCTGAATACTTAATGTTGTATGAGAGGCGCGTATTTTCCGATATGAAACATCTATTTTCTATTGGAAGTGGAACACTATTACTAATACTCTGAATGGTATGAATATCACTGCTATATTAGATTCAGTTCGCGCCATCTCCATGAGGATTTCGATCTGCCACATAAATAATTTTTAACGTTTGTCAACATTTTCAAATTGAATTGAACTCTGATATAGTCCTAAATATTGGGTGTCCAATTAATGATCTTACTTACAAATATTATATTATAAATGAGAAAGTTTGGATGTTTGTTACTCTTTCACGCAAAAACTACCGAATAGATTTTGATGAAACTTTACAGTATCATTGTTTATAACCCAGAATAACATATAGGCTATAATTTATGACGATCTGGGACAAACTAAATTTCACGAGGGTGAAGCCGCGGGCAAAAGTTAGTAAAATAATAATTCAGGAGATTAGTATTACAAGTCAAACCGTTAGATAGCGCTGTGCTTACTTCACTCGCGGTATCATTTGATTTTTTCCGATTTAATAAGTAGCTTAGAGGTGCCTAAAATTGACTGAAATGAAAATAGACGAATTTGATGACAGATAAATTTTTGTATACGGTCTTGCCGATTTGAGTAAGATCGTAAATATTTTTAATTTTAATAATTAAATAAAACAGGGTGAAATTAAAATAATATTTTAAGCTTTTATGTTGCATTTTTTCATTAAACATTATTTGCCCGCAGCTTCACCCGCGAAATTTAGTGTCACAGATCGGCATAAATAATAGCCTCTAATGTTAATCTGGGTTACAAACAATAATACTGTAAAGTTTGAACAAAATCCGTTCAGTAGTTTTTGCGTGAAAGAGTAACAAACATCCAGACATCCAAACATTTACAATATTAGTGGGAAGAAGGATCTCCTATTTCTTCTTCTTCTTCAGGGATAAGTCTACTCTCTACCATGCTTCAGCTACCTACCTACTATTAATTCCTCAAATTAGTTTGCCGTTTATGGACGAAAATATAATACAGAGTTACTATCGTAGCGGTATAGTTATTGGCGCCAGTTTACGCCCGTTATTATTTTCATTTTAGGAACTGAGGTAACAAACAAGTTTTTAATCAACAAGGTTATTTAAATAAGCCTCAGAGTAGGTAACTATAAATTGCGTGCAGTCTCATAAACCTCATTTATTTTTGCATGTAAGCTTTTAAAAAGCACTTTTACACGTCCCAGTATTAACCCTACCACTGCTTCGGGACAATAAATGGGCCAGTACAGCTGCAGTGCTGAGAAGATTTATCAACCAATTTTGACACGATTGTAATTTCCATGTCACACAATTTTTTGTTGTTACATATTTGTCAAATCCAAGACTGCCTTTTTACAAAAAATACGACACAAAACATTTTAATGAGCACAAAAGATAATACTGGAGATAAAAGTATATGTCATAAGGGCCCCAGAGCTGAAGGAGGAACGTTGTTAATAAATTTAAAGATCTCAGGTCATCACGAGCGAGGGTCAAGTGGAACCGACGGAGTTAAGACCTCTGTCCTCATTACTCCTTGTATATCTAATCAATACACGCAAGCTATAACATGTGTCATTTTTGTATCATTTTATGAGACGGTACACTATGTTGTAATGCGGTAATCGAGTGAACGATTGTTTATTAATATTATTTACTAAGATGTTGGTATCAATCACTTAAAGTATGTCACAACTTGTATTTATCGGCGTACGATTGTGAAATAGTAAATAAATCGTAAGGAATGTACTCGTTATATCATAAAATATAGTGGTTGCCCTAAAAGCGGTGTTTTCTTTTTACATTTTATTTAATTTTTATTCTTCATAGTCATTAACTAGAGACCAAAGTGTGTGGAATTTATGTACTGTAACTCTACATCTTTTTTCTTCTTTTCTATCTTATTAACTGTCTCAATCTAGAGAGGAAGACGTACTTTATTTTTCGATACCTTTATTACCCATATTAGTTTCCACAACCGTAACTCCTGTACAGCCAGGATCTGAAGTTTGAATCCAATGAAACTCAACCAATGATTATTGGGATTGTTTATTGGTTAATTAGGACGATAATGAGTCATCGGTGACTCACGACATATACGTAACAAATCACTCTGGACTATCCCGATGCAATGATCAGTTCGCACGTCCTAGCCGGTATGAGGTCAGACGATCCTGGTAACATAGCGTATAACATCAGTAGGGTTAATGTCAAATTATATCTAAATTATACCGACAACCTTCAAGAATGTTTGTGCTTTAGAAAACGATTTGTAAACAAATAATTAAGTCCAAAGTAAGGTCTAGTTTTACTGCGCAGTGTTTCATTTTGATCATTTCATCCATTACACTCTCTTCTCATCTTCACAGTTAACATCAGTCAGGCAAAACGTTGCAGCATTGTCATGTAGAAAACTTCAGAACAAGTCACACTTATGTGTCTTGCGTTTAGTGTTCCTTGGCTAATTCCTGTAGAACTGTCTGTAGCCTTAGTTCACGGTTCAGTTTTCTTCTTACACAGGTGAGACAATGCGTAGTGTGGGGGCAGTCTATTTTTACTCGACTGGCTAGAAGGCAAGTTATGTTTTGTCTTGTATCAGTTAATCCGACATTCATCATTTTCAAGTATCAACCGACACCACTGGATCCTCCTCTATTGCGGACATTGTGACAGTCCACAGTTCCACACATACCACAACGACGCACAATAGCTGTGATGTAACTCTAATAAGTTCAGTCACACCTGCGCAGTGACTCATGCCAATAAAACATCTATTGAACCGAAGATGAATCGAGATATTCGCTCGAGACTTGTATCGATTTATTGGGCACAGTGATAAAGCATATTGGCACAACATGAAGTGTTTAACGAGATGTATGGATAGATGGGATCAATGGACTCTGTTTATACTGTTTAATACACATTCCAATTAGAATTTCAATGCTTGCCGATTGTGCTGATTAATCTAGTGTAAATCTACCTTTTATGGTGTTGTTAACTTTTTGAGTTGCCATAGTCGTCTCACATGGCTCAATCGGATTCTGATCGTTCTCTTAGGTAAATTGCCTTACTTTGAATTACCAACATGATTTTACTTGGAAGGCTTGTTGTTGCATTTAATTTGTAGAATGAACCTTTCTTCATCAAAGTAAAAAAAAAACTAAGCATTCGAACTCTTCTCTCGAATTCATACTTGATTGTCGTTTCATAACATGGGCCTTAAAGATATTGAAACCATAGATCTTATCAAACTACATTCCTTCCATCAAAAACTTATGGCGCCCACCATATAGCGAATCTGCGAATATCGTTTCGTCCCTCTTTGGGGACGTCCATTAATTACGTAAGACGTTTAGGGAAATTTTACAAGTTTTATAAATCTAATGTACTAACTAATCGAAGCATAGAATTAACTCATTTACTCTGCAATTACGCGTTTTGAAAAATCTCACGTGAAATTGGGGGGGTGGGGGAGGGGGTTAAGCAAAATCTCATTAAATCTCACCAAGGGGGAGGGGGGGTTGAAAAATAGCCAAAATTGTCTCCCCTTTGCCATAAATATTGCTCTAGCGAAAACAAAGTAGTAACGCTACCCGTATCGTAAATCTCGTCGATAACTTTAGCCAGGTCAAGGAGGTAAGATACTTGTAACCGCAATGTCGGGGTTTGTTTTACCTACGTTGACATAATAACGTGCCAATTTCTAGCAAATATTACTTGATAATAACAAATATTACTTAATAATGAAAAAATACGGATCAGTAACTTTGAACTTTTTTCTTATTCTCAACAATTACATATTTTGGCTGAGAAGAATGAAGCATTTTTTGATCGAGAGACAAGTAGATTTAAAGTTTTATGACGCACTTTTATGTGTTAGATCTAATTCTAGGCGAGCGAAATTACGGCCAAAAGCTAGTTTTTTTTTATAATTCCAGATTTGGTTAACGACCTGTGGTAGATGATTGTTCAATATTCATACCAAATACAAATATTTGAAAGAACAAAACGCGATTCGATCAAGACGATAACCAGCCGGCTGAGGTCGCTGGCGGACCCCATTCTGTCAATCCGTACGTTTGTTTTTGGGAACCGCAAATATTGTAAGAACCAAATCAAATTACGTAGGGGCCTGGGGGAAACCCTAATTTTGCAGTTTGCACCCTTTTCAGTAAGTCAACCAAAAACATTCTGTAGTAAAAACTCAAGAAATACCTACTTAAATATTATTTCTTTCGTACAGGTGTAAAAGCTACCTACTAATTCTTAGATGATGATTAATTTGACCATCTATAAAATTAACAATAACAAGTGATACTTTTTGAAAAATTGTAATTTATGAGTTGTTGCTTGACGAACCATTGAAAATTCCTGTATTCCGCCTGTCTGTTTGTCTTCACTTCACCACGTTGTTTTTAAGCCACTTAAATTACCCTCAGGATGTTAAGCGGTGTTTGGCAACGAAAACATCCGAATGGCCGAATTCTTATTGAGTTATGACAAGCAACGCGATTAGGCAGCGATTGGTTGTTTACAGAAACGATGGATTCTGGTTACTTTTGGAGTTTGTCCAAGGGAAGAAAGGAAGGAAGTAAACAATATCGAAGTATTGCCTATAACTGCCATTTTGATTAATGTTGACTGGGGTAAACAATAATAGTGGTCAATAATAAGATTGATTTATCATCACAAACATTCAAAATGGAACGTTTGTTATTGAAAATATTATGGGAATGTTTGATTGAGGGTGATGTTACATTAATGTAACAAAGTTTATGGTACATGGCACAGGCAATTCAGGTGATATAAGGTTGTACACCATTTAAAAAACTTTGTACTGGGTGAAGAGCTTGCTGACTTCCCAAAACTACATAGTTCTTAATCAAGAACCGCTTTCTTTTATCTGTGCCAAAACTATGCAGAAGCGTCGAGCACACACTTTGTAATAGCAGAAGCAATGCAATGCGAAATTCAATCTTCTGCCGTCGAGACTACGATAAGTATCTACTTATCTTTTCGCACCTTATGATCGAACTGTGTTACAAATACAATTACGAAACCCAATCTGTAACAACTGTCACTGTAACAAGCGAAGTGGCTTTTGTAACTCCTCCCGGTACAATGTGACATAAAGTCAAAAACGCCCGCATTACCATAATTGCCTTGGACGTCCCTTATTGGCGATTGTGTGCGCAAATTGCGCGCGCGCCATCGATAGCGGCTGATGTATGGTACATTGTCTCCGCTGCTAACGGTACTAGATGTACTATTGCATACAGTGGGAGGTGATCAAGTAGACTCATTAAAAACACAAACATTGAGTGCGTATTCACACTGGTAATGGTAGGGAATCTTAGGCCCGCAGTTTGAAATAACGGGCCAAACTTGATCCAAACTGAAACTAATTCAAGGATCAAGGATTGGTTGAACTCAAAATTCTTTAATTGTTCTCTATCTCTACCTCTAGTAATTTAGTTGTTGCAGAATACGGGCCTTAAGAGTCTACATGTCTACAAATCTTTGTCTCTACCAATCTCTACATGTCAATACCGAAGAAGCTGGTCATGGCCCATGGGAATATAAATCATGCTCACAACTAGTTAACCTTGAGATGAGTACCTAAATCCCAACTAATATTATAAATGCGAAAGTAACTCTGTCTGTCTGTCTGTCTGTTACGCTTTCCCGCTTAAACCTCGCAACCGATTTCGATGAAATTTGGCAGGGACATAGTTTGAGTCCCGGGAATGGACATTAGGGTGTCCCGAAATATCTTTTTTTATATTTTCGCTACACAAGACCCCTCAAAAGTTGCGTCATAAGATGTAGATTACCGTAAAAATAATTTAAAAAATATAATATAATGTCTCAAGGGCTCTACCGGCATTTTTATGTCTCAAAAAATCACTTAATCAGCCCTTCACTGTTTGTCATCTATTATAAATTTTTTTTACAATTATTTCATTTTATTTTGTAATAACAGTGGCAGTGGAACCCTAAGATATGATTTGCAGGCAATGACAGACTGTTTCCAGTGAGGAATAGGTTTGTTTCGAACTAGCAGAATTCATATTTTGACTTGTTTTTCTCAAATTTTCTACTTCTTCGGCGAGGCTGTTGGTATTATTTCTGTTGAGGTTTTATTGCTGTAAGGTATCGCACCGCACTTTTTTGTTATAATATTACATACTTTTAGCATAAATTTAACAAAAATTTAGCAAACATGGTAGTAATATACTTTTGGATTTTTTTCAGGTAAAAACTACCTTGGCAAAAATCTTTAAAATATTATATTTAAACAGAATACTAATTGACATGATAAATAGTTTTAGCATACTATTAAATATAAATAACATTTATGTACGTTACATAAACTTTCTAGCTGAATTTTTTGTTCTGTACGCAGTTTTTTATCAATGGTGAACTTCAACGGAAGTAAAAAAATATTTTTAGTTATGAAACGCATACATGTTATATATCAAATTAAAGACAATTTAATACACTTCTTTGGCTCGTGTAAAACTTTTAGTAGAGTATAAGACATTTTGTAAAAAAATGATTTAAAAAGTAGTATCACAACAATGTAAAAAAAATCAATTTTCCTTTAATTACTAACTAAAGGTTGATTTTATCGATACAATTTATACTACAAAATATCAAGCGCATACGTAGAGCTTTGATTTAAATAAAAAAGTAATGAAATCGGACAAATGGTTTTCAAGTTATGGTTGATTTTCTAAAATTGACTGCCATTTTTGTTAGCTTCCACTTAGAGATGCCAATCATTGTTTTATAATAGCGTAGTAAAATTATTAACCTGCTGTGAGAAGGAAATTGAGTATCCTCAAATTAAATCGATATCTTGGCTGACCCATGGATTAATTAGGAATACATTAAAATCGCGCGCGTAAATGCCTAATTCTGGTCAAAAAGCGAATTCTGTTTTTAACGTATTTATGGATTTATTGGTTTTTAAACTATTTTAAACCTTGCTGTGACTCATTGTGTACCCTCAAATTTCATAAAAACGCTATTTTTGTATTACTTATAGTTTATGTTAGGAACCCCTAAAATAGCAATTTTAAAAAATTTCAAGGACAGGTAGAGGCCTCAAGATGACAGATATCTAATTAAATTTAATGCTAATCGTAATCTATATGTCAAAACGCAACTTTTGACACCTCTTGCGTAACCGTAGCTCAAAAAAAAATTTTTCCCATACAACGACGGGACACCCTAATGGACATAGGATAGTTTTTATCCCGGTTTTTGAAACAGGGACGCGCGCGATAAAGTTTTTCTGTGACAGACAAAATTCCACGCGGGCGAAGCCGCGGGCAGAAAGCTAGTAATGCTATAAATATCAAGAGTGAATAGGCACTTACAGAGCAGAAATGTACCATCAACCATCCTAGAATGCATCCCACTTAACACCAGGTGCGATTGTGGTCAAATACCTACCTTGTTATGCATAAAAAAATCCTGGAACATTTGTAGGCCAGCTTAAGAGGGATCTATGTCATTCCTACACTTCTGCACCTACTGCCTTCAGAACTAGTGGTGTCATACCAGCGCTCAATAGTTTATGGAGATTAGAGTTAAGACGCTGTTGTATACTTGTACTGTAGCGATGCAACAGTGTTGCTATCGGTTTAGTATACAGTAAACTGTAAACGTGAGCATAATGGCAGTGTCCGTTTACCTTAGGGAGACGACTGGGTATTAAAGATTTTCTAACGGGAGATAAAGAATATAAAATATAATAATAATTTAGATTTTAATATTGTATGTACCTATAATGTTGCAATGCCCTTACAGGGCCATGTTTCGGGACTCTGTATTAATATTTAAGATCCAAATGTACCAACATGATGCAATAAACATATATGACTATGACTATATGACTAAAGAGGCTGAGCTGCTATTAATTACAAAGTACCTATTGTCCTAAACTGGAAATAACTAGAGAGAGTTTCTTGCGAACATATCTTAATGTATTTGGTCGCAAAATGATCCTCTACTAACTGAGCACAACTTGCATGGCTGTACCTGAATTGCTATTAACGTCTAATATGACATACTGAGCTCATCCACTACTAACAAAGTCAGAATCTTCTGGTTAATGGTCTATCACTGTAACCAAGAAGACACTTTTGTTTATTAGAGTTATCTACTACCATATTTCATATCGTCAATTCATATCATGAAGATGGATGTATGATGGAAACCAAAGTGACCGATATAGCCTGCAGAATTGCTAAAATCAAGTGGCAGTGGGTGGGACACATACTCGCAACTCGTAGAGAGGATGGCCGTTGGGGCAGAAAAGTTCTCGAGTGGCGACCACGGGCCCGAAGACGTAGCGCGGGCAGGTTTGCACTTTGCCACTAGTGGACCGATGACCTGGTGAAAGTCACGGGAAGAACCTGGATGCGGGCAACCCAGGACCGGTCGTTATGGAAATCCTTGGAGGAGACCTTTGTCCAGCAGTGGACGTCATTTGGCTAAAACGATTCTTCATTGGAACTCACCCGATGACTCCGCGAGGCCTTCGGGTCCAGGTACGTGCGGAGCTTGTTGAGGTAGTGCGCCGGGGAGTCCTTCGCCTGCACCATATCCTGGTCGCAGATGATCTCCCATTTCTTCTCCAGGTCATAGTTGCGGAGAAGCTTCACTTTGTCGGGAGGCAGGTCCATTGACGTCTGGAATAGAAAAGAGATGTTTTAGAATTTTGAAAACAATTAGTTTTGTCATTATTTTTTCTGGAAAGATGGCTATTACTATTTACATACTAAGATGGACATGACAACTTCCAAAAACTGTTGACGAGCTCTTACACAGATTCAAATATTGTTCACAAATAGTAATATGAGATTTTCATTTGGAAACAAAATACAAATACAGGATATACGCTCTACCAGAAGACGTTAACAAAAACAAACCCGTAAATAACTCAATAAAATTCTAAATAACTAAATAAATGAATAAAATTACTTTTGTTTATCAATAAATCTACATAATTATTGCGTGTAGGTAAACTAATTTAAATACTAGTCCAATGGAACTAGTATTATGATAACACTTATTATCCCATATTATAATTCCTGATTGAATTCTAATCGGCGACCATCACTGTGGGGACGTAACAGAGTCATAGGATCAAGTCCCCTGATTTCCATAATGACGTGTTTTATTCGAGCACGACCAGTACCAAGAGGCATATCTAAACAAGAATCGGCTAGCAATGGACCAGTTTTCAACATATTGGTTTATACCGAGCTGGGGTAACGGTACAGCCACACCTGATGTGGGATTCAGTGGGTTTTGTTACTGGAATTAGGTACTGCACTCGGTCGAGCTGAATAGTGATTTATCCATGGTTGATTCCTTTTCCTTGAAAGTATTCTTGAAGCCTTATTCCTGCACTATCATGAAAAAGATGACTGTGTTTGAACTCGAGGAGGTGTCGATGGCTCATATTTTTTGTCTAAAACAAAACCAATCTATTATTTTTATACGAAAACGTGTTAATGCTAGTTATTTGTTTTGGCTCTTGATGGCTCTTGCTACAAATCCGAAAGCTACAGATTCGATCCACCAATGAAGCGATTCTAGAACATGTATATTATGGCTCATTGTAAAAATTCCAAGACATGGGCCTTCTCAAACCACTTTCACAGTGGCAAAGCCATTCAAAGTGCATTAGGGTTGGCTCGCTCGAGAGCCATACCACAAAATGTGGTAATCTACAGGCAAACAAACACCGACTGAGGGTTTACTTGCACGTCAAGAGCTGCTAGCTATAATTTTGATAGATATTTTTTGCATCAGTAGTCTGTGTGAAATTTTGCATGAATACTTCATAAATTATGTGCGAAAATGTTTAATTACCAAATCGCGAATTTTAGGTATATGATATTCTAATATGTAGAGGTAGAGTTCTGATAAGTATTTATTTTGAACGGTAAGATACCCATGAAAATGCAATAGCAGTGTAAATATTTCGCAATTTACGTGGGAAGATGGGTGATGAATGGCAATTATCTTCTTCGCTCCTGACATCTACAACATTGATATTTCGAAGTGATATTCCGTACCTTGATTCATAGCAATTGAACTAAACGTAATTGGATGTGACGTGAGAATGTTAGGCCAGCACAGAATATCCGTTTTGTTGCAAAATCGTACCTATTCAAAGTACATAAAGTGCCACAATGTTTTGCTAGTGATGCTGGTCGTCAGTACAATGATTTATTATGTGACACGCCACCCATGTTTTGCTCTCAACTGAACTCTATTCACTATAATATCATAGTGCTGCTCCTTCTATAGTGTACTCGTAGGTGTCATAAGAGGTCACAAGTGTCACAACCCTAGGTGAAAGACTATGAATCTTAGGCTGAGTTGCACCACCTAACTTTGACCCTAACTATAACCGGTGTATTTTGTATGGAGGTTTTTGATGTTTGTCAAAGTTAAAGATTTTTGATGTTTGTCAAAGTTAATGTAAGATGGTGCAACCCAGCCTTAAGTATTTCAAAAGATAGTACCTACTTTTGGGGCATTTATCCATGAAACATCACTTCAGGAATGTTAAATGAACTGTACCTATCTCTGTTACTTATGATCACTATAGAAACAATGAGAAGATTGCTTTAAAATCTAATAATAGTTAATGATTTCTTGTTACCCTGAGATATGGCATAACGATAACAACGCAAGCTTAAATAGAAACTCATTATAACGTGATAACATCTTACATCTTCTATGCTACCATTATTAGTTGCTTCCAGGGGAGTGCGGTGTTAGTTAGACAAGGCAGTTAGATAGTGCATACCGAGTAAACAGTGGTTTATGCCCGTTTTCACCATTAATGTTTATGTGACCCCTATGGTAACACCAATCAGGAATTTTGCTGTCATAGAGGACACTTAAAAATTAGGGATTGATGGTGAAAACGGGCACGGAGACTCAATGAGGATCAGTACTGTTGTAGAAAATGCAATAAAACTAGTATCTACGTTAATCTTTAAGACATAAGAAAGATATATCTTTTTGAATTATCCAAATCGGACCATTACTTACGAAGATATTAAGTAATAAACATAGGCCGTTTTTGCCGCTAAAAGTCAACGTACGCAGGGCCGCGTGACGTCATTATATCCGAATCGAGCGCAGCCGGCGTACTATTGGGATGGAAAATATTTTTTTCCAGCTAAACTATCAGTTTTAGAAAAAAACTTATAATAACATTTATTCATGAAAATAAAGTAACCTATCGACCAGTAATTTTTAAAAATAAAAATTGTGAAAAATAAGTATCGCTATGTCCAAAAACCACATTTTCATAGGATTCGATGCAATGTGGAGACGCGGTTGGGGTGAGTGTAACTTAATGATTGTTTGTATTGAACATAATAATACATAATATGATGCTAATACCCAGTTTCTGGCCTGGGGAGGGGGATAAGTCATACCCAGCTTATAGCCTGGGGGGAGGGACAAGCCTTACCCAGCTTCTGGCCTTGGCCGGCAGCGTTCGGATCGGATATAATGACGTCATCGTCCCCGCGCCGGGCAGTCAGTGAACTTTTTTAGTAATTTGGCCATAACTTCGTCAATTTTTGTCGTAGAACAAAAATTTTTGGACTGTGTATTAAGGATTTCTTAGCCCTATAAATCTGCATTCACAGCTAAAAATCGAAATGATCCTCATTTAACCATGCATGTTTTAAAATAAAGGTTGTTTATTCCCAAATTAATTGCTTCTTAGATAATATCTGCACTATTAAATATAGAGCACTTCGTGATTCGGCGCATGAGTTGGCATTATATTACCTTGCACCTAACTAAATACTTATAGGTCTTATTCTTCTAGTAATAGGATCTGTTTTCGGAGTTTTTGTTTGTAATTTCGTAATCCCACATTACCATAGATCGGCGTAGACGTTCAATTATGACGCCGGGGCGTGATCCCACGCGCGCGCGCAGCTTTGGGCGTGGTACCATTTATTGAAGACTAGCGGCCGCCCGCGACTTTGTATGCGTGGATCCCGTTTTACCCCCTTAGGGTTTGAATTTTGCAATATTCCCGTCTTCTAAAAGGAACCCCCCATGAAAAAATTTAGATTCCTAGCCCTTGTAGTTTCTGAGATTTCGTGATGAGTGAGTGAGTCAGTCAGTCAATCAGTGACCTTTCGCTTTTATAGATATGAGATAGATTGCGAGAGCGGATATTGAAATCTCTAATAGTTTTATTACAGACTATTAAACTGGTAAGTTGATTCGGATGCGATTCCTGTATACAAATTATAAACTCGTTTTGGAGGACGTTCGTGATTATTTACGACGAAAGAAAAACTGGAGGACGTCTAATCAAAGTGAAAGTGATTTGTTACAAGTTATGCTAGTTACTATTAAATTCACGCTGGAATTCAGGTGCGAAAACTACTTGATAATTGTGTATATCTGCCAACAATTATTATGCTCTAGCGATGTAGAGATTATAATAATGCACTATTCTCTTTTTATATCAGTAGTCTCAGTACATAGCTCCAAGAAAATCCTTTCCAAAAGGTATTAGAGGTTTAAAATTCGAAATAACCAACACTTTTAATGGTCATCATTAGTTACTGACACTGCAGCTCGAGATCGCAACAAGATCTTATTCTCAATTTTCTCTAGCGATGTAGAGAATTTTATGAGCAAGTATTCTTTTCATCTCAGTAATTTACAGCTAGGGACTGGAATTCGCTGCCTGCTGCTGTCTTTCCCGAAGACTATAATCCGGGTCTTTTCAAGGGGAGAGTGAATAGGCACTTACAGGGCAGGTATGTACCATCCTAGACTGCATCCCACTTAACATCAGGTGCGATTGTGGTCAAATACCTGCCTTGATATGCATAAAAAACCTCATCACATAGCTCCAAGGAAAACCTTCCCAAAAAGGAATTAGAGGTTCAAATTCCGAAATAACCAGCATCCGCCGGTATACCGCCATACCGATCGCAACCGCCGGTAATTTACGCCACATCTGATGCGTTTAGTAAAAACTGCTCATCATTAGGTGAATGACCGTGCATACTAAGTACTAACTGCAAATATTGGCCGGCCCCGAACTGGCCCAGTTTGTGTAGGCTGCGTCTGAACGAATCATCACTGTCCAGATAGATTGGATACTTGTTATGGAACGTAAAATCAACAGAAGAGCGAACTGAGTGAATTTGTTACAAAATAGCATCTATGACAACGAAATAAGATTTACGGTGATTAGTTTAATTATTTTTTTCAGTGCTGAAAAACAGTCATATTATGAATGCTTATCAAGCATAAACATAAGAATAGAAGAAGCAATAAAAGAAACGCAACCACAGAAATCAAGGGGGTGACCTAATTTTTAAGTGATCCCTATGAAAAGAAAAATCCCTAATATGTGTTACCATAGAGGTTACTTAAATTAGAGATTGATGATGAAAACTGGCATATTTTTTAGAAGGCTGTAAGTTCTTGTGGTGTTCTTGACTTCTTGGAAGTATTGTGTGATAAAAAAATTGAGGAAAATAAACCCAACCAAAGTGAAAGAAATGTTTAAACAATTTGCAGAAAAGCATCGACTAAATCGTACAACGCACTTAGAGGATTCTTACAACAATTATAACTTTAACATTTTTACTATTCTATGAGTTAAAACAATAGAAAGTCA